GGTCACCTTGGCCAGCTTCAGGACTGGTCTAGCGTGGTTCCTGGCAAATCCGACTCAGCAAACACTTATTTTGTAGTGGAAATACAAAAAGTAGTAGTAGTAGAAACAGTAGGAATAACTCCAGTAATAGTAGGTAAAAGTAGCGGTAGTAACAGTGGTAGTAACAATGCTACTGGGTGGTGATAGCGGCAGCGGCGGTGATGGTAGGCAGTAACAGTGGTAGTAACAATGCTACTGGGTGGTGATAGCGGCAGCGGCGGTGATGGTAGGCAGTAACAGTGGTAGTAACAATGCTACTGGGTGGTGATAGCGGCAGCGGCGGTGATGGTAGGCAGTAACAGTGGTAGTAACAATGCTACTGGGTGGTGATAGCGGCAGCGGCGGTGATGGTAGGCAGTAACAGTGGTAGTAACAATGCTACTGGGTGGTGATAGCGGCAGCGGCGGTGATGGTAGGCAGTAACAGTGGTAGTAACAATGCTACTGGGTGGTGATAGCGGCAACGGCGGTCATGGTAGGCAGTAACAGTGGTAGTAACAATGCTACTGGGTGGTGATAGCGGCAGCGGCGGTGATGGTAGGCAGTAACAGTGGTAGTAACAATGCTACTGGGTGGTGATAGCGGCAGCGGCGGTGATGGTAGGCAGTAACAGTGGTAGTAACAATGCTACTGGGTGGTGATAGCGGCAGCGGCGGTGATGGTAGGCAGTAACAGTGGTAGTAACAATGCTACTGGGTGGTGATAGCGGCAGCGGCGGTGATGGTAGGTAGTAACAGTGGTAGTAACAATGCTACTAGGTGGTGATAGCAGCAGCGGTAATGGTAGGTAGTAACAGTAGTATTAATGCTACTAGGTGGTGATAGCAGCAACAGCGGTCATGGTAGGTAGTAACAGTAGTAGTAACAATGCTACTGGGTGGTGATAGCGGCAACGGCGGTGATGGTAGGTAGTAACAGTAGTAGTAACAATGCTACTGGGTGGTGATAGCGGCAACGGCGGTAATGGTAGGCAGTAACAGTGGTAGTAACAATGCTACTAGGTGGTGATAGCGGCAACGGCAGTCATGGTAGGTAGTAACAGTGGTAGTAACAATGCTACTGGGTGGTGATAGCGGCAGCGGCGGTGATGGTAGGTAGTAACAGTGGTAGTAACAATGCTACTAGGTGGTGATAGCAGCAGCGGTAATGGTAGGTAGTAACAGTAGTATTAATGCTACTAGGTGGTGATAGCAGCAACAGCGGTCATGGTAGGTAGTAACAGTAGTAGTAACAATGCTACTGGGTGGTGATAGCAGCAACGGCGGTCATGGTAGGTAGTAACAGTAGTAGTAACAATGCTACTAGGTGGTGATAGCGGCAGCGGCGGTGATGGTAGGTAGTAACAGTGATAGTAACAATGCTACTGGGTGGTGATAGCGGCAGCGGCGGTGATGGTAGGTAGTAACAGTGGTAGTAACAATGCTACTAGGTGGTGATAGCAGCAGCGGTCATGGTAGGTAGTAACAGTAGTATTAATGCTACTAGGTGGTGATAGCAGCAACAGCGGTCATGATAGGTAGTAACAGTAGTAGTAACAATGCTACTGGGTGGTGATAGCAGCAACAGCGGTCATGGTAGTTAGTAACAGTAGTAGTAACAATGCTACTGGGTGGTGATAGCAGCAACAGCGGTCATGGTAGGTAGTAACAGTAGTAGTAACAATGCTACTAGGTGGTGATAGCAGCAGCAGCGGTAATGGTAGGTAGTAACAGTAGTATTAATGCTACTAGGTGGTGATAGCAGCAACGGCGGTCATGGTAGGTAGTAACAGTAGTATTAATGCTACTAGGTGGTGATAGCAGCAACGGCGGTAATGGTAGGTAGTAACAGTAGTATTAATGCTACTAGGTGGTGATAGCAGCAACGGCAGTAATGGTAGGTAGTAACAGTAGTATTAATGCTACTAGGTGGTGATAGCAGCAACGGCGGTAATGGTAGGTAGTAACAGTAGTATTAATGCTACTAGGTGGTGATAGCAGCAACGGCGGTAATGGTAGGTAGTAACAGTAGTAGTAACAATGCTACTAGGTGGTGATAGCAGCAGCAGCGGTAATGGTAGGTAGTAACAGTAGTAGTAACAATGCTACTAGGTGGTGATAGCAGCAGCGGCGGTAATGGTAGGTAGTAACAGTAGTATTAATGCTACTAGGCGGTGATAGCAGTAACAGCAGTAATGGTAGTAACAGCAGGTAGTAGTAGAAATAGCAGTGGTAGTATTGTGAGCCAGGAGGCACCGGGCTGGGTGCATTTTTATCAGCATTCTGAGATGGCCACTGTACTTACACCTACTTCACAGGTGAAAATATGGAAATCTAGCAAGGTTTGGTAACACATCCAGTTAGTGGAGGAGCCAGAATCTAAATGCAGGAATACCTTCTTCCAGAGCCCAAGGTCTTTTTTTTTTTTTTTTTAAGATTTTGATTATTTATTTGACAGAAAGAGAGAGAGAGAGACAAGAAGGGGGAATGGCAGGCTCCCCGCAGAGCAGGGAGCCCAACATGGGGCTCAATCCCAGGACCCTGGGATCATGACCTGAGCTGAAGGCAGTCGCTAACCGACTGAGCCACCCAGTCACCCCCAGAGCGCAAGCTCTTAAGCACAATGACACATAATCTCTCTCAATCTAGAAGGGACCTGTCTCTGCATACATCCATCTATGTATCCATTCATTCATTCACTCACTCACTTACTCAACAAATATTTGTGGGCACCTACTATTCACCAAGCAGTCTTCTGGCTAGAAATAGCTATTACCAAGCAGGCTGTGAGGAGTGCTATGGCGCAGATTCATTTTTTTTTTAAGATTTTTATTTATTTATTTGTCAGAGAGAGAGAGAGAGAGCACAAGCAGGGGGAGCAGCAGAGGGAGAGAGAGAAGCAGGCTCCTCACTGAGCAAGGAGCCTGATGTGGGACTCAATCCCAGACCCTGGGGATCATGACCTGAGCCGAAGGCAGACGCTTAACAACTGAGCCACCCAGGCATCCCTATGGTGCAGATTCAGACAGTAGGATAAGGAAATATTGAGAAGGGAGAGATGAATTCTGACATGGATTTGTAAAAGTTGATTTGAGTTGGGGTTTCAAGAAGGGCGGAATGTAAGGAATCTGATGAAAGATGGACAAGGCAGACAGAGAAAACAGCTTGAACAAAGGCTTAGGGGCTGGAGCGTCCAGACAACATTTGGGAACAGGGAGTGGTTAAGAATTCACGGAGTTATGGCACAAGATGAGAAGGGGAAGGTGCCGGAATGTCAATGACAATTCCTTTTCCCATTCCAGAAGCATTGCAGGCATATCTCAGGCAGAGACATTTCTCTCCCTTTCCTCATGTGGAGAAAAAATAAGCTATTGCCAGTCCAGTAAGCGGTGGATCATTTTGTCCAAACTGTGTGTCCATCCCCCAATTCACAGGACCACCAACAGAGTGGACAGAAAGAGCAGAGATCACAGCTCTGAAGACCACCTCTACAGCAACTTTGACCACTACAGTCTCTACTCCTACTTCCAGAATGCTGACTCTCCTCAGGACATCAAGTAAAACAGCCAGCACAAGCACAAGAGGAATGATCATTACAACCCCAGATGTTTCCCCTGATGTTCTAGAGATGACAGCCTCATTGGCCACCAGACCTGGAGCAGAGACCAGCATAGAACTTCCCAGGACAGCCTCATCTGTTTTCAGTAGAGAGTCAGAAACCACACCCTCACTGGTTCCTAGTTCTGGGGCAAAGAACAGTCCAGCTGTTCCACCTCTGACTGTTTCCTTTAGTGAGCCAGAGACCACAACCTCATGGGTCACTTATCTTGCAGAAACCAGTTCAACTGTTTCCAGGGAAACCCTGAATGTTTCCCACAGTGAACCAGATAGCACACCCCCAACAGCTACCGGTTCAGGGGAAGAAGTCAGTTCTGCTGTTCCAACTCTGACTGTCTTCCCTGGTATACCAGAAATGGTGACCTCACTAGTAACTAGTCCTGCGGCAGAGACAAGTATGGTCCTTTCAACTCTGACTGATTCCCAAGATGCACCAGAGACCTCTGCCTCATGGGTCACCCATCCTGGGGCACAGAGCAGTTCATCCATTCCAACTCAAAATGTCTTCCCTGGTAAGCCAGGGTTGGTGACTTCACTGGATGCTAGTTCTGGAGCAGAGACCAGCCCAGCTGATCAAACTCTGACTATATCTCCTGGTGAGCTAGATACAACAGTCTCATTGGTTACCCATCCTGAGGCACAGACCAGTTCAGCCATTCCAACTCCAACTGTCTCCCCTGGTGTAATAGGGGTGAAAATCTCACCAGTCACCAATTCTGGGGCAGAGACCAGTACAACGTTTACAACTCTGACTGATTCCCCACATGAACCAGAGACAACAGCCTCCCGGGTCACCCATGCTGGAACAGAAGCCATTTCCACTGTTGGAACTTTGACTGTTTCCCCTGGTGAGCCAAATACAATAGCCTCATGGGCTCATTCCACAGAGAACAGCACACCTGTTTCCAGAATAACTCCAACAAATTTTTCCCAAAGTGAATTAGACACCACACTCTCAATGGCCACCACTCCTGGGGCAGAAGCCAGTTCAGCCACTCCAACAATCACTGTCTCACCTGGTATACCAGCTATGATGACCTCACAGGCCACTAGTTCTGGGACAGATGCCAATACAACCTCTTTGACTCTGACTGAATCCCTGCATGAATCAGATACAACAGTCTCCTTGGTTACCCGTCCTGCAGAGACCCGCTCAACAGTTCCCCGGACAACCCCCAATGTTTCCCGTAGTGAATCAGACAGCACACCCTCAACAGCTGCCGGCCTTGAGACAGAAGCCAGTTCAGCTATTCCAACTACACCTGTCTCCCCTGGTGTACCAGATATGGTGACTTCACAGGCCACTAGTTCTGAGACAGATGCCAGTATGGTTATTTCACCTCTGACTCTTTCTCCTGGTGAACCAGCAAACACAGTCTCATGGGTTAATCATTCTGGAGCACAGACCAGTTCTTCCATCCCAACTCCAACTGTCTCCCCTGGTATATTAGGGGTGGGGACCTCACTGGTCACTAGTTCTGGGGCAGAGACCAGTGCAAATTTTCTAACTCTTACTGATTCCTCGCATGACTCAGAAATAACAACCTTATGGGTCACCCATTCCGCAAAGACCAGCACACCTGTTTCCAGAATAACTCCAAATTTCTCCTATAGTGAATCTGATATCTCACTCTCAACAGCCACCACTCCAGGGGCAGAAAGCAGTTCACCTTCAGCTACAACTATCTTACCTGGTGTGCCAGGATCAGTGACCTTACTGGTTACCAGTTCTGAGGCAGAAACCAATACAACTTTTACAACTCTGACAGATTCACTGCATGAACTGGAGACCACAGCCTCATGGGTCACCCATTCTGAGAAAGAAGCCAGTTCAGCTGTTTCAACTCTGCTTGTTTCCCCTGGGAAGCCAGATACACCAGTCTCATTGGTCACCCATCCTGCAGAGACCAGCCCAACTATTCCCAAGGCAACCCCCAGTTTTTCCCATAGTGAATCAGATACCACACATTCAATAGCTACCAGTTCTGGGGCACAGACAATTTCAGCCATTCCAACTGTGACTGTCTCCCCTGTTGTATCAGGGGTGGAAATCTCACTGGTCACAAGTTCTGGGGCGGAGAGCAGTACAACTCTTAAAACTCTCACTGTTTCTCCAGGTCAACTGGAGACCACAGCTTCATGGGTCACCCATTCTGGGACAGAAGCCCGTTCAGCTGTTCCAACTCAGACTGATTCCCCTGGGGAGCTAGATACACCAGTCTCTTTGGTCACCCATCCTGCAGAGACCAGCCCAACAGTTCCCCGGACAACCCCCAATGTTTCCCCCAGTGAATCACCCTCAATGACCACCAGCTGTGGGGCAGAAACCAGTTCAGCTATTCCAACTCAGACTGATTCCCCACATAAGCCAGATATAGCAGTCTCATTGGTCACCCCTTCTGCAGAGACCAGCCCAACTGTCCCCACAACACCTCCAGTTTTTTCCAAAAGTGTACCAGACACCAAACACTCAGTAGGCACCAGTCTTGGGGCAGAAGCCAGTTCAGCTGTTCCAACTCCAACTATCTCCCCTGGTGTACCGGATATGGTGACCTCCCAGGTCCCTAGTTCTGAGACAGATGCCAATATGACTATTCCAAGTCTAACTCTTTCTCCTGGTGAACCAGCAACCACAGCCTTATTGGTCACCCAGTCCAGTGCAAAGACAAGCACAAATTTTCCTAGTTCAACTGCTTTTCCTCATTTACCACCAGAGACCGTAGCCTCACCACCATCCATCCGACCTGAGTTGGAGATTAGTGAAGCTCTTCCAACTCAGACTGTTTTCCTCAGTCCAGAAGAAATAACATCCTTCACCACACCTGCAACTGAGACCAGCGGAGTTGATCTAGGTCCAACTATCTCATTTGGCGTTCCTGCAGAAACAGCCTCACTCTCCACCCATCTTGGCACAGACATCAGCACAACGATTTCAAGTTCAACTCTTTCCCCCATTTTATTGGCGACCACAGGCTTACTGGCCACCAGCCCTGCATCAGATGCCAGGACAGGTATCCCAACTTTGACTGCTGGTGATCTTGGACCTGTCAGTACCCCTGCAACCACTGGTGAGCCTTACACCTTAACTTCCTGGGGCACAGAACCCTCACCACCTGTGACCTCAGTTGGACTCCCTGAATTGTCCAAGACTGTGATGGGGAACACTGTGACCTTGATAGCATCAGAGACCCCAACACCACCTAAAACCAGTCACAGAGAAGGACTGAGTTCAACAACTGTCCTGAAAACCACAACTCTTGAGACCACTAATTTAGCTGTTACAGGTTCAGGCCCCATCATAGTAGAGACCACAACCACCTTCAATACATCAGCAGGAAGTCCCTTTGTCCCTGAGACCTCACCTGGGATGTCCACCTTGACCTCTCTGAGTGTGGCTTCAGAAACAAGTAAGAATGGCTTTTTTTACTGTGGTAAAAATGTATATATACTATAAAATTAGCCATTCTAAATGTACAATTCAGTGGCATTAATTACATTCACAATGTTGTATAAATGTTATCCTATCTTTCTCCAAAACTTTTTATCACCCCAAACAGGATCTGTGTACCCATTAGACGTTAGCTTTCCTTCCCCACTCACCTCAGCCCCTGGTAATTCTAATCCACTTCTGTCTTCAATTTGCCTATTTTAGATACCTCATGTATGTGGAATCACATAGTGTATTTGTGTGTGTGTGTGTGTGTCTTATTTCACTGAGTGCAATGTCTACATGTCATAGTGTGTATCAGAACTTCATTCCTGTTTATGGATGACTGACATTCCATTGTGTGGATGGACCACATTTTATCTGTCTGCTCATCTGTTGATGGACACTCAGGCTGTTTCCATCTTTTGGCTACTGTGGATAATGCTACTATGAATGTGGGTGTACATGTATCTGTTTGAGTCCCTGTTTCCAATTCTTTGGGGTACATACCTAGAGAAAGAATTGCTGTTAGGTGATATACTAGTTCGTTAGGGCAACAGTAATGAAGTACCAAATACTGGGTGCCTTGAACAATAGAAATTTATCAGTTCTAGAGGCTGGAGGGGACCCTGGGAGAATGCGTAGAACATGAACTTTGGAGTCATCCTCTCTGCAGGGGGCAGTAAGGGAGCTGGGGTATCTATCCACCAACTCCCATCAATCATTGCTAGTGGGGTGCTCCCTGGGCCTGTTCATTTCTCCAAGATGAAGAGATGCAGGTGCTACTATGTGCTGAAATGGTAAGAGCCAAGGGGAAGTGGGAGTAGGGTGACTAACTCATCCCAGTTTTCCCAAGACTGTCTCACTTTTCCAACTGGACATCTGCATCCCAGGAACTCACACAGTCCTGGGAAAGCTGGGATGGTTGGTCACCCTATGTGGGAGGGTCTTGAATAGCAGGCCAGTCTAGGCCAAACCCCAGCTCAGCGCTGGAGTTAAGGTGTGTCCTTGGAGCCTTCCCTCCCACCCCCAGCCCAGGCCTGACTCAGGACTGGGCTCATTTACTCTTCTACCACCACAGCTGCAGTTCCTTTCTTGATGACTTTTACTGTCAACTTCACCATCACCAACCTGCACTACACAGAGGACATGGAAAACTCGAGCTCTGAGATATTCAATGCCACTGAGAGAAACCTGCAGCACCTGGTGAGAGCCCCCTGCCAATGCTCATCTTGTCCCAAGCCTGCCACACCCCAAAGTCTTGACCCCTCCAGCTCATCACCCTCTCATTTGTTCCCAGCTCGGGACTCTGTTCAAAAACAGCAGCATTGGTTCCCTCTATGCTGGCTGCAGGCTGACCTTGCTCAGGTAAGGCTTCTTCCAAAGCACCTATAGAACCCCAATTCTCTCCCTTCTTGGTCTCCCACATCCCAGTCAACCACAGCCTTGGGTCTTTGCCAAGAGGAAGCATATCATAATGGATCCAAAGTGTCTGGGTTTGAACCCTTGCTCTCCCATTTGCTAGCTCTGTGATCTTGGACAAGTTACATAACCTCTCTGTTCTTCAATCACATTATCTACAAAGTAGTGATAATACTAGTACCTTACTAATAGGGTTATTAATCACTAATCACAATGCCTGGCCCATTGTGAACACTCGATGGGATCTCATAGTATTAGCCAGTGTAGTATCTTTGCCAATTGTGTCCCCAGAATCCCTGACACTCTCCCTGCCCCAGCTCATATCTACCCTACTGGGGACAAACTCTGAACACTGCAATTCTGCAGTATATTCCTTGAAAAGAGATAGGGACCTTCCCAGAGGATGTTACATAGAACCAAAGGGGAAAACAAACAAAATGCTGAATACTGGCAGGATATATTGCAATTTAAAAACTCACAAATAGACCTGAACTCTACAGAAATGGCCTATTTTCTCCTCTCTGCTATGCCCATTTGGTGTCCTCTGAGGTCAGTGGGCTCAGAACCCTTTCCTTACATTTCACGACTCTATGACCTCTCTTTGGGGTCCTGCATCCAGCCAATGCAGGTCATCCCACCAGAGAGGTGGGTCCTCTACGCACATGGCTTCACGAGAAGAGGTTCCTGGAATGTTGTAGACCAAAACCGTCCTAAATGAGCTCCACCCACCACACTTGCCCCCATCTCCCCATGAGATGGGGGGAATCAATAAGATAATATTGACCATATGATATGCCACCCAAAAATCTAAGTGATGTACATGTTTTCATTCATTTCATCTTTACAACAACATGATTATTATCCCACACTGTAGAAGAGAACACTGGGCTCAGAGTAGTCAAGTACCTTGAGAGGAGCTGGGATTTGAACCCAAAGTTTCTAGTTTTTGAGTCCCTCCTTTTAACCATGATACAGTGGTGTTCAAGGTCACTGGGCTCAACATGTTACTTGCATCCTTAAAAGTACTCAGAACTCCAATGAGCCTTTGGACTTGAGGGTTATATCTGCCCGTATTTATTGAATTAGAAATTAAAACAAATGTTATAAATATGTATTCATTAATTTATTAAAAGTAATAAATCTATTACATGTTAACACAAATAATATAATTTTTATGAACAATAGCAGTATTTCCTCTCCCTCCCCCCCAAAAAAATCATAACAAAAAGAGAGCCATTGTTTACATTTTTGCAGATATTTTTAATGTCTGGTTTAGGAGAAGACAGTAGGATATCTGCTTCTGCATTTAATCTTTTACAGTATTTCATGTTGTGGCCTCTGGAAAACATTTCACAGTATACTCCTAAGAGAATAAAAGTTAAAATAATGAAAATAATCATACTTGGTGAACTCTTTGTAAGAGTTTATGACTACCAGGAGTCCCTGGACCATACTTTGGGCAATGCCTGGTCCATTGTGAACACTCTTTGAATAGTGTGGATAATAGCAAGAATTCCCAGGCAGGGGAGAGAGGGGATCTTTCTTCCTGTAAATCCCCTGCTCTGGGTGAATCACTGTAGGTTCAGCTGAAATTCAGGACAAGAGTATTTTTGAACCACATTGCCCCTTATCACCTCTTAATTCATTTTCTCTGTTTTTCTCCAAACTTGGTTACCTGCTCCAAAGGTGCTCCCATGGAGTTGACTGTAGCCTTGGGATTCACCAACATGAAACAAAGTCTTCCCTTCAGGCTCCATGATGGTGTTGCACAATGTCACAACCAGCCATAGGGGTGACTCACTCACCCCCTCCAAGGTCTTCAGTCCTTTGCTGTTCCCTTCCACATGCTGCCTGGGCTCAGAATTCTCATTTCCTCCCTAGGAGCTCCACACCCCCAATCTTACAGCCCAAGCAGGACTCAGCTACTGGAGGGGATGCCATCTGTACTTACCTTCTTGAATGGATAGGGACTGTACTGGGCGCTGGTAGTTGAAACAATGAGCATGAACCAATTAATAAAAAGATTGGGGAGCAAAAGAAGAAAATTAGGTGCAGAGTAGCCCTGGAGAACACTTAAGGTGGGATGGTCTGGATCCCCATATCAGACAGAAAAAGATGTGTTTGAGACAGCAGATGAAGCCCTAAGAAGACTGCTAACATAAACACCAGGGGGTACAATTGAAGGAAGGAGTCGTCAGGAGTGGTCAGCTTTCAAGTGTCTCTGCACATCCCTATTCCCGTGTCCCTCCTTCCCCAGGGCTGAAAAGGATGGAACAAGCACCAGAATGGACGTGGTCTGCACCTACCGCCCAGATCCCACAGGCTTCAGGCTGGACAGAAAGTGGCTATACTGGGAGCTAAGCCAGCAGACCCATGGTGTCACTCAGCTGGGCCCTTACACCCTGGACAGGGACAGTCTCTGTGTCAATGGTGAGTACCTCAATTGCTGTTGGGGTCTCCTCCTGAGCCCCAGATGGGGTCTCCTTGCAGTGCAATTTCTCAGTACCTGTGTTCATAGTTCTGGGCCAACCTAGAATTTCCATAGGGAAATTCTCTTCTGTCAGAATACCTACAGAGCAGCCTGCCTGCCTGCCTCCCTTCCCTTTCTTCTTCTTCTTTCTTCTTTCTTCTTCTTTCTTCTTTCTTCTTCCTTCTCCTTCTTCCCCTCCTCCTCCTCCTCCTTCTTCTTCTTCTTCCTTCTCCTTCTCCTCCTTCTCCTCCTCCTCCTTCCTTCCTCTTCTTCCTTCTCCTTCTCCTCCTTCTCCTCCTCCTCCTTCCTTCCTTCCTTTCTTTCTTTCTCTCTAGTAAAAGTAATATTTATTTTGTACATTGTCATTTTAAATATTAGAAACTTTGAGAATGAAAGGGGTTTTGGGGAGGAAATTCTTAGGAACCTTCTTATCACATTGTTTATAATACAGCCATGCCTTTTTCTATGCCAGGGTGAATTGTCCTATTACTTTTTAAGTTTCAATCAGATTCTAGCATTTTACCCTATGTGCTTTCAATATGGTAAACTATCTCTGAAAATTTCATTAATGTGAAGTTTTGTTTGCTGATGTCACTTCCTTTGGCTATCCTCACCTTTTTTGTTACTCTCCTCGTGAATGCTGATAAGTTTGTCTTCACTATATTCCTCTGGTTGCACAAATGGAGTCTCTCAAATATCAGCAGTGTGAATATTCCATGGTCAGTTAATTTGTCTCTAAGTCCTACTATTATTTATTTTTATTTTATTTAAGTTTTTGTTTTAATTCCAGTTGGTTAACAGTGTTCTGTTAGTCTCAGGTATACAGTATAGTGAGTGATTCAACACTTTCATACAACACCTAATGCTCACAGAACAACTTCCAAAGTCTGGAAATAAAGGCTCCCTGCATAGTCTTCTTCACTGCAGTGACCTTTCACAGAAACCCAACTGGAGCATGAAGCTATCAGGGAAGGAAGAGGATAAAGCAAGCCCACAGTGACAGTTGGCGTTCACTCCTCCCCAACAGGCAACGAGTTCCCAAGGTGGTGACTGATCTGCTTCTTTCTCTTTGTTATGATAGCCTGTGGCCTTTTGCTCATCCTCTAGGGGCCAGCCAGACTACACCCCACCTGAGAATCAAACAACAAAGCTGTTAGCATTGTTTTTTAGCAATAAATCCCTCCTCAACAATGCCCTTAAAAACAAAACCCACAGTCACACCTATACTAAAGGCTAATGTTTATTGAGGGATGCCTGTGATCCAGAACGTTGTGTGTATTATGTTTTACAAATCCTGTCCAACACTCTGTGACATGTTATGTATATTTTACAGAGGAACAAGCAAGGCTCAAGGAAGGAAATCTACTTTCCCAAAATCAGACAGCTAATATAAGTGGTAGCATCAGAACTCAAACCCTAAATTAGCTCTCAGGCCCCCAAGAGGCCCCCTAACGACTAGGCTACACTGCAGACGAACTCAGCTAGAACAAGCCTCAAATATCAGGATGGGAAGGCATATCAAGGAGCGCCTAATACAACAGTTTAAACCAATGCTCAATTAATTATGTCTCCACTGTATTGCCTTTGACATTGTCTTTCTATCTGGATTAAAACCTGTATTATATTTCAATAGTCCTTAAGAATTAAAGCTGTAGCTGGCAGTGTAGGTTTGGGTGGTTTACAGGTCTTTCTATAAGACCTGGTCCTGGTTTTTTGCTCATCCTGTGGCCCTGGGCAAGCCATGCAACCTCTCTAGGCTTCAGTGTCTATTTTTAGAATGGAATTTTTAAAAACGTCATTTAAGATTATTGTAAAGGTCAAATGATATAAAACCTGAATAATCTAAGTAAACCACAGGGCTCTCTCCACTAGGTCCAGTCTCAAAGAGTTTCATTTCAAGAAACCCAGTCAGACCACCAAATATAAAATAGGTCTAAGTTTTACTTCCATTCCCTACAGAGCATCAGAGAAGATCCAATCCGTGATCCAGAACCATACTTATTCAAACCCTCTTTTCCCCAATTCCCTCTTACTCTCCAACTTTATACTCTCTGGTTGACTCCCACCTCTGTCTGCCTGTCTCAGTCTCTCACCCTCATGATCTCAGTTCAACATTACAGAAGTCCAGGAACTATGTCAAAGATCATGCTGTCTCTGAAGAGTAGGATAGCGGGAAAAACTCAGAGACCAAGGAAAGAGTTATATTTAATTGGTGGAGAAAACACAAATAAAGCTGGAAACACTCTCATAAAATTGTTGTTGCTAGTACTCATTTGGTGAGGTTGATATTGTCTCGGGCACCTAGTGAACCCCCATAAGATGAGGGGTATTGATCATCATTGTCTTTGTGGTTGATGATCATGAGGACGACACGACTGCGAGCACCAGAGTACAAGGCAGTTAACTCATAAAGAGTTGATGAGTCTCAGAGAAAGCACTTGAGAAAGTTTGCATTGTATGTTTCAAGTCATACCCCTCAACCTTTTCTTAGCCTCCTCCCATCAGATTACTCTTCCTCTCTGGCTCTCTCTGCAGGTTATAACTATCAGTACTGGATCCCCACCACCAGCAGTAAGTCACAAGGGCCCAGATGTCCCTGCATCCCTGGGACACTTCCTCCTTACGCCTGCTCCCCGGGGTAGGGGGGAATGTACCCACCACCCCCCAGGTTCTCAGCCCCAGAGCAGCTCCAGACCACCCACTAGAGATACAAACTCCGGTCAACAGCCCTGTCCTCTCACTGCTTCATGATTGGGCCCAACAATTTATATTCACGTTGTATTCTTTCATTCCTTCAGCTCCGCTGACTTCTACATTCTCTCCAGGACTCCCTGCATCTCTGCCTCCCACCCCCAACTCTACAGGTAGGAGTCTAACCTCTGAGTCCCATGAAACTTCAATTCCTGTTCTGGTTGGTGAATCCCTGCATGATCTGGACCCTGCTGCCTTACCCAGCCCCAGCCTGTCCCACTATCTCCCTTGCTCCCTCATCTCTGGCCATACCAGCCTCATTTCTGTTCTTCCAGGGACCAAACATCCTTCCATCCTCAGGGCCCTTCCTCTCACTATAATGGGAACTCAGCTCTGTTCCTGGTTTCTCTTTGTCCTTCAGATTCAGGTCAGCTGGCTCTTGCTCAGACCTCCTCCTATAAAGTAGCATTTCCCCATATCCCACACATAGATGGGGCCTAATCTCTATTCTATCTCCATGATCATTTATTTCATGGAAATTACTACTGTTTGGATTTCTTGACTGCTCAAGCATTTGTAGCCCAGGGTCTGAGCACAAAAGGTCTTGGTTCCTCCTCTTCCTACTAAAATGTCAATGACAAGTCAGCCTTTGGACACTCTGGGATAAGAAGATTGAGGTTTCCTTTTGAGGTGACATGACACAGCTAACATGGAGATCCGCTCTCCTCCCTTGGCTGGCTGAGGAGGGAGGAGATCCCAGATGGGATATCTCAGGCTTTACCTACTGGATACTATGGACAGAGAGACAGCACTAGTCCCTTCCCCTGAACATACAGCTCAGGCCTAAGACCGTGATGAGTCTCTCCTCTCTCTTTCCCTCCAGCTGCAGGTGTGGGTCCTGCCCTGGTGCCATTCACCCTCAACTTCACCATCACCAACCTGCTCTGCACCCCAGACATGAGGCGCCCAGGCTCCATGAAGTTCAACTCCACTGAGAGGGTCCTGAAGAGCCTGGTAAAAGCCTGACAATGCCTTCCCTGGCCTGCCTTGCCCTTGCCCCACCCACTCACCTCAGCCCCTCCTGCTCACCTCTCTCTCCTTCCTCCCCAGCTTGGTCCCTTATTTAAGAACACTAGTATTGGCCCACTGTACTCTGGTTGCAGATTGACCTTGCTCAGGTGAGACTTCCTTCCCTTACAACGTGAAGGCTTGCACTGTCACAGGCAAGTTCACCTGAAGGTGAGGACCTGAACATAGCAACTAGAAGAATCATAAATGACTGGGGCCTTCCAGGAATTCAGATGGACGGCATGCCCTCTGGCTGAGTGTATCAGAGAGGGCTTCCTGAAAGAGATGGCTGTCAAATAAAGGTCTTAAATTACTTGGATAAGCAGAGCCATGGCTCACTAGCCAGAAAGGGCAGGACTGACTCATTAGGCAGACATGAAATGAGGTACCTCAGGCTATCCTCTGTGACAGGTGCTAAGGGCACCGAGGGAATCAGTCATGGGCCCTTCCCTCAAGGTATCCACAGTATAGAGAGGATAGCAGCCATATGGACTTAAAACCATAATAGGAACACGATTAATACAATGATAAAGCACTACACGGAGGCCATAGGAGCCCATAGGATGAACTTTTAGCTCATTGTGAACATTGAGTAGAGACAGTCTAGAGAAGGTGATGCCTGGGCTGAATGAACATTAGCCAGAAGAAACTTTGGCAAAGGTATTTCAAGGGGTGGCATATCCCTCAGATCTGTGGGGAACCATGAAGTTGTAAGTAGAGCCTTGATGTGATGTCATTTATTTTAAGTAGTGCGCTGGTAGATACGGGGATGGGAAAATTTGATATGAGGATGGGACAGGAGGTGGGAAAACCAGTGAGATGTTGAGCTGGACCTGGATGTTGCTTGGATGGGGGGTACCAAGGACAGGGAAGATCCAGGATGCTTCCACATGTTTGGCTCATCCTAGATGAAAAGGTCCCAGAAAAGAATGCACATGAGGAACTAGACAAGACCCAGTAAGAAAAATGTCATCAAACCAAGGCTGGGGCTGGGGCGGGGGCAGCAAGCTGAAGGCAAGAGTTGAACAAGGTATATAACTCTCCCACATCTCAGGATGCCCCTATTCCCATGTCCCACCACCCTAGGACTGAGAAGGGTGGAGCAGCAACTGGAGTGGATGCCATCTGCACCTACCATCCTGACCCCATGGGCCATAGGCTAAACAGAGTAGAACTGTACCAGGAGCTGAATCAGCTGACCCACGGTGTCACCTGGCTGGGAACCTACACCCTGGACAGAGACAGTCTCTACGTTAACGGTGAGTGTCTGTGCTGCAGTTGGGGTCTCCAGTCCCATGCTTCTTTATGCCAGTAGTTCTCAACCGGGATGATTCTGCTCCCAGGAGACATTGACAATGTCTGGAGATATTGATATTGGCTACATACATAGTTGGAGTGTTACTAGTGACATCTAGTGGGTAGAGGCCAGGGGTGCTGCTAAACATCCCACAATACACAATGCAGCCCTCCACCATGAAGAATTACCTAGACCAGGGCGCCTTGGTGGCTCAGTTGGTTAAGCGACTGCCTTCGGCTCAGGTCATGATCCTGGAGTCCCAGGATCGAGTCCCGCATCGGGCTCCCTGCTCAGCGGGGAGTCTCCTTCTCCCTCTGACTCTCTCCCTCTCATGCTCTCTCTCTCTCAAATAAATAAATAAATCTTAAAAAAAAAAAAAAAAAGAATTACCTAGACCAAATTGTCAATAATGCTGAGTTTGAGAAATGATTATATACAAATTTATAGTTCTGATGCAAACCTAGCATTTCCTTGGGGACTCATTTTTGAATGCTTAACACACCATGGGAGGCTGATTTCCTTTCCCTTGTCACCTCCTGGATGACATCTTTCTTCCTCCTTATTTCCACTGTTTCCCATAGGAGCCTAACTGGAGTGTGCAGACTCTAGGGAAAGAAGTGGGTGATGCAGAACTCTGTGGCTAAGGTTTCTGAATGGGCAGCAGGTGACCATGCCAGCCCTCACCCCATGTCATTCTCTCCATCATGACAACCAATGTTCTAAGTTCCCACAGGCCAGTCAGAGCTACACAGACTTCGTGAGATAACATCACACTTAACACATACTCCATGAGTAATAACTACGGACACAACACTGTTGACAACAATGCCCCTAAAAGCAATGCTAACACTGAGAATAGTAACTGTAATCGTGGCTAATTCTTATCAAAACGTTCCTGTGTGTCAGGAATTGTGATAAAGTCTTCATTTGTATGATCTCATATTAATCTTACCCAAAACCCTGTGAGTTTTTTATAGTCATTTTTACAGAGAAAGCCATCATGCGTTCAGACAGGAAGTCATTTGCTCAAGATAATCCAGCCATCATGCATGACGGAGTCAAGATTCAAACAAACCCAGGACTGAATCTAAACCCCAAGTTCTTAACCACAAGGCAACACCTCAGACCATCCAGATAGAGAAAGCCTCAAATCTCAGGACAGGAAGGGGCATGAATGACCTCTAGCCTAACAGTCTAGCCTGATCCTTGATTAGTTATTTCCCCCTATATCAACTTGGAGATTTCCTTAAAGCAGTGGTTAATAGTTTGAGGGTTGGTGAGTGATAGATCTCTGTTTTATGTGATGCTGAACAAGCTGTAAAACCTCTCTAGGCTTTAATATCCCATTTTCAGAATGGAATAAACATACATACCATGCAAGATTGTCCTGATAGCCAAATGAGAGAGTTCAGGAATAACCCAAGTAAATCGTGGGGCTCCTCTGGGTCCAGTCTTTACTCCCACCCCTCACAGAGCATCCAAGGAGATGACCATGACTCAGAGAAACACTCATGAAAAATTCTCTCTTCCCCAATTCCTCAGACTCCAATTTTTATACCATCCATCTGACCTCCAATTCTCTTCTCATGTTCATTATCCTAGCCCATTTCCAAAGTTTCTCTAATATTCCAAACCACATGTACATTCCCTCTCCTCCATTTTGTTCACTTCCACAGACCAGTCTCTCAACCTGCCACAATTTTGTCACTTCTACATCACACACACACACAAAAAAAAACCCCCCAGAAACTAAGCTAGAAAGATAAAGTCGTACTATCATAAAATTTTGTGAAGGGAGAGAAGCTGAGAGAGCAAGGATGAAGTTATCTTTGTGGATTGAGAGGACATGGATAAGGTTTGGAATACACTTGTTTGTAAATTTGCCCCATTTCCTTGTTGTGTGTTGTTTAGCATTATTTCTGGTGCATAGTATATTCCCAATAAATAGGGACAGCTCTTACTATTGTATTTTTCTTTTGGCAATAGTAACGGTGATGGTGTTCATCATTATTTGCAAAGGACAAGGCACAAAAGGGCACTGAATAAAATGTAGCCATTATTGTTCATTTATAAATCTCAGCAAGTTTGTTAATGAATTTCATCTCTAGGTCTACCATCTAGCCCTTTCTTTTTTTTTTTTTTTTTTTTAAAGATTTTATTTATTTATTTGAGAGAGAGAGAATGAAAGACAGAGAGCATGAGAGGGAGGAGGGTCAGAGGGAGAAGCAGACTCCCTGCTGAGCAGGGAGCCCGATGTGGGACTCGATCCCGGGACTCCAGGATCATGACCTGAGCCGAAGGCAGTCGCTTAACCAACTGAGCCATCCAGGCGCCCGTCATCTAGCCCTTTCTTAACTCTTACCCATTATAACAGTCCTTTACTCCTTTCTGCAGGTTATAACCATCAGTACTGGACACCTACCACCAGCAGTGAGTATTCAAGACTGTGAAATTTCAATGCCCACTGAACCCTTATTCCTCAAAGCACATTCTTCTGGAGAGAAGCTGCCAATTCTCCCTCCCTAAGTGTCCAGCCACAGACTCAGAGGAGTCCCCTACTCACCCAGGGTCTTGCTCTGAGTCCAAACAGAAGCCCAAATTCTAATGAACAGCTTCTGTCCCACATTCCTTCAGGATGAGACTTAATAATTTTTCCCATGTTCTTTTTTCTCAGCTCCAGTGACTTCTACATTCTCTCCAGGATCTTCCACAACTCTGTCCCCCATCCTCAGCTCTACAGGTAGGAGTCTGCTCTCTGGGACCTGTGAAACTTCAACTCCACATGGTCTGGTTGCCATCAACCACCTGGCCTCAGCCTATCCTACTCACTCTCTCCTTCGCTCTCTAAGCTTTGGCCACATCAGACACTTGTCTGTTCCTGTAGGGTCCTAACCTCTGTCTGGCCTTTATACTAGCTCTTCCAGGAGGTCAGCTGCACCTGGCACCTTATTGCCTTTCAAGTCTCAGCTCAACCATCACCTTCCTTGAAAGACCCTCCTAGACCACCTTATAGGAAGTAGCACATCTGAATACACACCTGGCCCACAGGTTTTCTCTATCCACCACCGTGAGTATTGTCTCATGGAATTTACTACTATTGGCTTTATTCAGTCTTTATGTATTTGTCACCTTGAAGCTGAGTAACTAGTCTTCACTCACTTTATATTTATTGATTGGATGAATGTAGCCATCTTGTATATGTCACGTTCGTGAATTTTATTTGAACATCCAGAAAATCATGCAGGATCTCAGTCATGAACTTGGTTCTTCCTCTGTCTCTTCATCTTGCCCAGATGAAGGCTCTTGAATCTCCAGGAACCTGATACAGGGGCTTGATTTATGTCAGGAAACCTGTCTTACTCCAACTCTTAACATTTATTTTAAAAACTGGGTCTGTGGGTATTTTTCAAGTTTACGCCATGACCCAGGCTGGGCGTTCCTGACCTTTAATGTTGCCATGGGAGTCTGGAGTTGTAGGATACAAGCTGGTGTCCTGTAATTTGAATTCTGCCTTCTGGCATTCTGTGTTTCATGGGTCAAGACACTGCAAACTTTTTACAAGCTTTAGACAGAATGCGCACTCTCCATGTCCTTATAGCTCCACCCTGATCAACTCAACCAATCTGTAACAGACCTAACTCCTACAAGCTTGTAAATATGTGACATGTGCCATAGACCAAGTTTTCCCACGATTGATGACGTCATTTTTCTATAGATGCATTCAAGATTTCTTCTTCATCTTTGGTTTTCAGAAGTTTGAGTATGATGTATCTGAGCATGGTTTTCTTTCAGCTTATACTGTTTGGGATTTTCGAAGCTTCCTAGCTCTGAGAATGTATGTTTTCAAGAAATTTGGGAAAGTTATAGCTATTTCATTTTTTTCCCAGTTATCCAGTACCATTTACTTAGAAAATGTCTTTCTCCATTAAATTGTACAGGCACTCTCATTGAAAATCAATTCATCATAAGTGTGAGGATTCGTTTCTAAACTTTCGGTTATACCCCCTTGATCTACATGTCTATCCTCATCTAGTATCTTACTGTCTTGATTACTGTAGCTTTGTCTGCTGTAATTTTCTTTTTGTATATGTGTTTTTATTTAAATTCCAGTTAGTTAACATACAGTGTTACATTAGTTTCAGGTGTGCAATGTAGGGATTCAACATTTCCATACATCACCTGGTGCTCATCACAACAGCTGGGGAGAGGATGGAGGGGTTTTGAAATCAAGTCTGACTCACTAGTGTGAGTCAGGTAATCATAGCACCCACAGCTCTATACATGGTCTCTTTATTAAAGGTCATGAGTTACGGGGTGGGTGGTGTAGGTTGAGTAGGTGACAGGAAGCCTCCTATAAGAACTGACGTTTGGGGTGCCTGGCTGGCTCAGTCGTTAAGTGTCTGCCTTCGGCTCAGGTCATGATCTCAGGGTCCTGGGATCGAGCCCTGCATCGGGCTCCCTGCTCCACGGGAAGCCTGCTTCTCCCTCTCCTACTCCCCCTGCTTGTGTTCCCTCTCTCGCTGTGTCTCTCTCTGTCAAATAAATAAAATCTTAAAAAAAAAAAAAAAAAAAGAACTGACGTTTGACTCCTATTAAAAAAAGAATGTTTCTTCTGTGTTGGATGGGATTGAATTGATTTTTTTTCCTTTTCTTTTCCCCCTAATGCATGAGATGGTTCTAATCCTGTTACTTTTAACCTCTCAAGTGGAGGCTATCAGGGCCCGTCTGGAGCATCACCAGGGCCCAAGACCTCAACCCCTGGCACCTACCCTGCCCCATATCCAGATTCAAGAGCCCCATAACCTGCCTTTTGATCTAACTGCTGCATTAAACAATTTTTATGCATAACATAGAATTTACCATTTTAACCACTGTTAAGTGTACAATTTAGTGGCATTAACTATATTCCCAATGTCATGCCACCAACACCACTGTCCATTCTCAGGACTTCTTCATCATCCCAAACAGAAACTCTGTTCCCATTGAACACTAACTCCCTATAACCCCTACCCCCAGCCCCTGGTTGCCTCTACTCTACTTTGTTTCCACAAATTTGCCTATTTTAGGTACCCCATGTAAGTGAAACTATACAATATTTGTCCTTTTGTGTTTGGTTTGTTTCACTTACTATAATATTTTCACGGTTCATCTGTAAGGTAGCAGCTGTCAGAGTTTCCCTCCTGTTTATGGCTGAATATTATTCCACTGTATGTATATGCCACCTTTTGTTTATCCATTCATCTGATGATGGGCTCGGGTTGTTTCCACCTTTTGGCTATTGTGAATGATGCTGCTGTGAACATTTTGTGTTCAAGGATCTGAGTCCCTGTTTTCAGTTCTTTTGGGTCTATACTTAGGAGCAAAATTGCTAGATCATATGGTAATCCCATATTTAACTTTTTGAGGAACCACCAAACTATTTTCTGTAGCAGCTTCACTAGCATTCCCACCAACAATGCACGAGGATTCCAATTTCTGCACATCTTTGCCGACACTTACTTTTCTTTCTTTCTTTCTTTCTTTCTTTCTTTCTTTCTTTCTTTCTTTTCTTTCTTTCTTTCTTTTCTTTCTTTCTTTCTTTCTTTCTTTTCTTTCTTTCTTTCTTTCTTTCTTTTTCTTTCTTTTCTTTCTTTTCTTTCTTTCTTTCTTTCTTTTCTTTCTTTCTTTTCTTTCCTTCTTTCTTTCTTTCTTTTTTCTTTCTTTCTTTCTTTTCTTTCTTTCTTTCTTTCTTTCTTTCTTTCTTTCTTTCTTTCTTTCTTTCTTTCTTTTCTTTCTTCCTTTCCTTTCCTTTCCTTTCCTTTCCTTTCCTTTCCTTTCCTTTCCTTTCCTTTCCTTTCTTTCCTTTCCTCTCTTCCTATAATAGCCTAATAGCTATCCTAATAGATGTGCATGCTACTGTATTTAATAGCATCTGGCTTTGCTCTTTATCTGGAATCTGTCTTTGGTCCTAAGGCAGCTAGCCTATGTGCCTGCTCTGAACCCCTGCTTCCTGAGATCTGGACCCTCCATCTCCGTCCCCAGAAGTTGTCTTAGAGGCCAGCCCAGGCTTGACTCAGGCATGGCCTCCTTTTTCCTTCCCCTGCTACAGCAGTGGTCCCTTTCCTGGTGCCGTTCACCCTCAACTTCACCATAACCAACCTGCACTACGAACAGGACATGCAGCATCCAGGCTCTTGGAAATTCACCTCCATGGAGAGGATCCTGCAGGATCTGGTGAGAGCCCCGTCCACCGGTGCCAGCCCTGCCCACCTCACTTCTGCCCCTGCCCATATCACCTCTGCCCCATTCACTTCACCAATACCCCAGCTCCCCCTGGCCTCCCTCAGGGGTTCCTTCTCACCTCCCCTCTCCTTTCTCATAGCTCAAACCCCTGTTCAAGAACAGCAGTCTGGGATTCCTCTATTCAGGCTGCAGACTAGCCTCGCTCAGGTGAGACTGTCCCCAAGAACACAGCCCAGCAGGTGTATGGGACCCTCATCTACGGGCTCCCTGACTTTGTCCAACCTTGGCACAGCTACCACCACGGATACTGCCCATCATTATCACCAATAACAACCCCAGCAGCTAGCAATTCCTAAGATCTGAGGCAATGTGCTAGTACCTTACATTTCATCCTATCAGCCCTCATGACAACCTCAAGAAGCAGGAACCGAAGGTGCAACGGGCTCAGAGGGATTGAGTAGCTTGTGCAGATCACAGAGCAACCCTGCATGGTGGGTTCTAGAGCCAAACCCCTAGCTCTCAAGCAGCGCTGCCTCCTCTGCCTCATTATGAGCTTGCAGCATGTGGAAATTACCGATCTGGCAACCTCTAAGAGGGAAGAAACTAAGAGGGAAGGAAAGCAGGCACACTGTTACACAGAGAATCCTAGATGGGTCAGACTCATGGAAGGAGGCCTGACCTGCCCTGGGATGGCTCAGGGTTGGGGAGGACGCCATCCCTTGGGTGCAGCTGGGGGGTTGGGGGCAGGTCGTGGACACTGCTCCACACCTGGCATTCTCACCTCCCACATCTTTCAGAATCTCTAGGTCTGGTTCTCCTCACATTCCCGTTTTAGCACAGGCATCTACCTCCAGCTCCCCTTCCTTCTGGAAGAAGAGCCGTTGTAGGAGCTTCGTGGCTAAGAGCCTCAGGGAAGCCAGAGCAGAGTTCAAATACTAGCTCTACCATTTACTGAGATCCTGGGCAGGTGCCTGAACCTTGCTGTGCCCTGTGACTCCATGTTATATGTGATATATTAGGCCCATACATAATATATGTACACTAAGATATATGTGTATATGGAGAGAGAGATTTGACCCTTGGATAGTGTGGGTTTGAACTGCATGGGTCCACGTATACGTGGATTTTGTTTTGCTCAACACAGTACAGTGCTCTAAATGTATTTTCTCTTATGATTCTCTTAACATCTTTTCTCTAGATTAGTTTATTGTAAGAATGCAGTATATAATGCCTATACCATAAAAAATATGTTAATTGACTGTGTTATCAGTAAGGCTTCTGGTCAACAACAGTCTATTAGTAGTTAAGTTTTGGGGGAGTCAAAAGTTATATGCAGATTTTCAGCTGTGTTGGGTGTCAGTACCCCCAACCTCCATGGTGTTCAAAAGTCAACTCTGTATATAAAATTTGCACGCACACAGAGAGAGAGAGAGAGAGAGAGAGGAAAAGAATAGGTATAATTCTGTAGTGTATCTGTTATATCTATTCCTAATATATTTTATTATACCTATATATATAATATATATAACTATAATATATATACCTATATATAATATGTATATTATATATGTATAATAATATAATATATAATCATACCTATACTTTATACATAGATCTATATTACATATATGTTCTATATAGACATAATAGGTATAATATGTTATATATAGGTATAATATCTAATATATATGATGTATATAGGTATAATTCCTAATATATAACATATATATTACCTAAGTATAGATAATATGAGATATAGGTATAATATATAATTATACCTGTACTTGATATACAGGTTTATGTTATATATATTATATATAGGTATAATAAGTATATTATATATAGGTATAATATCTTTTATATATAGTATATATAGATATAATCCTTAATATATATGATCTATTATATATATTTAGTATAGATACAAAAGGTATAACATATAATACAATAATAAATAAAAGATAAAATAAATATGTAACAAACATATATCATACACTTACATGTTAAATAGATCATTATATTTATATTATGTATAATTGCATTGCATATGAGAGATAGTGTGATGGGTATAATAACAACCGTGGGAGTTGAGCAATACAGCCCACAGGGATGCTCTGAGGGTTAAGTGATAGGATCATGAGTACAAAGTGCTGGGCCCGCTTCATACTCAGAATTTAACAAGAGGTGATTGTTATTATAAGAGACATCCTATCCATGGCCCTGGAGTGTGGGAGCAGCTTTCTATCCATATCTCTCAGTAGTATATGGCTGGGTGGGCAGGTAGGTGGGTCAGTGTCTTGAGGCTGGAGGTGATGCTGAAACATGGACAGGTCACACTTTCAGACAGACCCACCCAAAGGGCATGTGTGTCTCTCTGGCCATTTAGTCTCTTGAGTCTTTAGAAATGCCCCAGCCCTGCATCCAGACTGAGTGACGTTAGCTTTTTGATCTCACTATTTGAAAACCCCAACTCTCTGCAGGAAAATGTCACCAAACCATGCTGTGGTCACTGTTCTGGGGCCATTGCCACCCATTGCAGCATGACCCCAGGCACCTTGTTGTGCCCATCAAGACCTGTGACAGGATGTGGCTGTTGTGGCTTCAGCTGGCACCTTCCAGGATTGCTCACCCCATCAACAGTACCCTCTGTGTACCTGCCACACACACGGGGCTTTCAGAGGCTATCCTCCCAGGCATGCAGGAGGCTTCAGGCCTGTGGTGTGCTAGTTGTTGATGGAGGGCATCCCCCTGATGGCGGCAGCTTGTGTTAACTAGGGTTTCCCAAGTTTCTGCCTTAGAGGCTGGCAAGGAGAGAGAGGGAAGGACCAACAGAGAGAGAGAGAGAGTTAGACTATGTGGTGATTCTTACCCAGGCCTGAGAAGGATGGGGCAGCCACCAGAGTGGATGCCATGTGTGTGCATCGCCCCGACCCTGAAGGCCCTGGACTGGACAGAGAGCAGCTGTACTGGGAGCTGAGCCAGCTGACCCATGGCATTGCCCTGCTGGGCCACTACACCCTGGACAGGAACAGTCTCTGTGTCAATGGTGAGCAACCGTGATGTGGTCAGAGTCTTCTCCCCCTCACCGTGCAGCCTCTGCCCTCTGGCTTGAGAATGCATGCCCCGTCCAGCCCCTAGGGGCTTGGCCCTGTGCACTGGATGTGCTGATTCATGGTCTTCTCTTCATCTTGGACTGACTTCACCCTCAGAGCCTTCCTTCCTAATGGGTGCTGATGGAGAACCCCCTCCACTGCACCAGTGTAGCCCTGCCTCCTGTTTGGTCCTCCGCCTCTCCCTAACCCTTACCCACAATGTTCCCTCCCTCTCCCTACAGGTTTCACCCATCAGAGCTCTGCACCCATCACCAACAGTGAGTATTCAACTATGACCCAGGGCCCCTCAACACACAGGGCAGACAAAGCGCTGATGCCTCCTCATGCCTGCTTATGTCATCTCCAGGAGGGATGGATCTCCTGGAGGCCACAAGTTATTTACTCTCTTCTCTGCCCCAGTTCCAGAGGGAATCTCAGCTCAAGTCCCATATGCAGCAAGCCTAATAAATAGTCTGTCTTGTTGGCATTTCTGCTATGTGATTGTCTTTCTGCTTTCACTGATGAGAGCTTTTCCTCAGCTCCAGGGACCTCCACAGTGCACCTGGGAACCACTGGGATTCCATCCTCCTTCCCCAGCTCCAGCCCCACAGGTAAGTACCAGTCAATGGCACATCTGTTCGAGGGGGCCTGATGAGCGTAAACACATTTGACATTATTCACTCAAGTAAAGATGGAAAGTTGTAGTAAATCTAGTGATGATGAGTCAGTCAACAACCTTTATTGAGCACCTACTTTGTGCCAGGCCCTGGGGAATATAGCAGGGAACACAAAACAAAAAAAATCATTGCCTTCATAAAGCTTATATTCTTATGATAATGATGATGATGGTGATGTTGATGATGATGATGATGGTAATGGTGATAATGATGATGGTGATGGTGATGGTGATGATGGTGGTGGTGATGGTGACACTGATGGTGATGGTGACAATGGTGATGGTAATGGTGGTGGTGGTGATGATGGTGATGGTGGTGGTGATGATGGTGATGGTGGTGATGGTGGTGGTGGTGGTGATGATGATGGTGACGGTGGTGATGGTGGTGGTGATGATGATGGTGGTAATGGTGATGGTGGTAGTGATGGTGACAATGATGGTGATGGTAATGGTGGTGGTGGTGATGATGGTGATGGTGGTGATGGTGGTGGTGGTGGTGGTGGTGGTGATGATGGTGGTGGTGGTGATGATGGTGATGGTGATGATGGTGGTGATGATGGTGACGATGATGGTGATGGTGGCGGTGGTGATGGTGACAATGATGGTGATGATGGTGATGATAATGATGGTGATGATGGAGGTGATGACAATGATAATGGTGGTGATGGTGGTGGTAATAATGGTGGTGATGGTGGTGGTAATAATGGTGGTGATGGTGATAATGATGATGATAATGGTGATGGTGATGATGATGATGGTGATGTTAGGTCATTTATGCATGGAAGTGTAAATCCACAGGAAGTATGTGGATTTTTCTCAGGATAAGAAGGAATGAAATACACTTTCTTGTAATGTGTGGAAATGCTCCCTTCTTGTCCTTGTTCAAATCTTTAAGGACTGTCAGATTCTGTCTAGGACAAACATATGACATCTGTGCCATCACTCCCCAATCCTTCATCCATGGCAGACATCACTAAATGGTAACAGCTTCCACTTTCTGAGTTCAAAACAGCTCCAGAATCCTTACCAACAAAATACCCTAGGCAGTCGCTACCAATTCAGTTGAAGTTGCCACGGGATTGTGGGACAGAATTCAAGGAAATTAGGTTCCTTGATGTGTGGAAGGCTCTTTGGTTTTCCTGGAAGGCATTCGTGAGTTGGAAGACTCTGCTCAAGCTCAGCTGGCTCATGACTGAGAACTGGCTTGATCCAAGCCTCTTCACACCTCCTCCTGACCAGTGTCCAGGAAAAGTTAGCAGCAAGTTTGGCCTGCACCTTTGGTTTTTCCTGCAGGAGGAGATGTACATTCACAGCTCTTCTGGGGATTCATTGAGGAATCAGACACTTGGAGAAGGGGCTGCGCAGGTGGCAGAGGGAGAGTCTGCAGATAGCCTGATAGAGAAATTCCTCCCTGGGTTTCAGTGGCATCTTCTGGAGTTTGTCTACTGGGTCTGCTTACATAAATAGAGTCATAGACACCCAAAAAACTCCAGATTCTTGCCATTTCCTCCCTCCCCCCATCCTTACAACTCTTAATACTTTCTCTTCCTGTCCTTCTGCAGGTTACACGCATCAGGTCCTGACCTCCACCCCCAGCAGTGAGTAGTAATTTGGGCCCTAACGTTGCTCTGCCTTGGGGCCCATCTCTCCTCCTCACTATGTCTACCCCATGTCCCCAGGGACACAAGGGGCCTGGAAAGCTCCAGTCTTTCCCCACCTTCACTCCTGGGATCAGAAAAGACAAGCCTGGCACAGGCCTGAGGAGTGTCTCATGGACCAGTGATGGGCCCCGTTTGGCTGGGGAGGCCCTCCCTCCTGCCATATTGGCCTCACTGTGTTTTCTTCTCTGTTGCACCAGCCTCTACCATCTCCCCAGCAACCTCAGCGACCCCCATCCCTACCTCCACAGGTAAGAGATTCCTCTCTGCCATTCCTCCCCTGCAAATGTCTTGTGCACTTGGCCAGTGGGAGGTATCACATGGAGCACCATGCCCATTCATTCATTCATTCACTCAAGAAGCATTCAGTTAGCCCTTAATGGATGAAAGGCCCTGGTAATGCAGCAGTGAACAGAATAGAAAGGGCCCTAGTCTTTGATGGGCTTTCAGCAAGAAAGAGAATAAGGACTCAAGTGTATAAATAAGTATTGAATTACAATCAGCATGGTTGTGGGGTGAGTTCTGCAGGTGTGTGTGGGGGTTGCTCTCTCTCTTGAGTACTTGGTTTTCATTTCCAAGAAAGAAGGGAGCAGTATGAGCTACATGTGTACCTGAAAATGCCCTCGTATAGGTCCTGGTTAGGGATTTGGGCAGACTCTAGTTGGGCCAAGGGCTAACTTGCCATTCTTGGCATCTCAGTGGCCCAAGATAAATTTTGATACCACCTACTGACCCTGATAAGGGTCCTGGATGACCCATCATTACTAACACTGTCTTACTTGAGTCTCTAGTTACTCACCAGCTAGGACCTTCTGAAGGTGTTCTGACTACTGACCACTCAGGCCAGAGTGAGCAGGTCACTGTATGGACCTGCCCTTGGTGTTAAGGTGGATGGGTTAGGAGCACAGACTCTGCGACCACAATGCCCAGGTTTGAACTATGCTCTGCCATTTATAGATTGTGTGACTGCAGGCAAATTATTTAACCATCCTTGGGCTCAGTTTTTACATCTGTAAAATGGGGATAAGAATACTATCTCCCTCTGAAGGGTTTGCCTCAAGGCTTAAATGGGTTAAAATTTAAGTGAAGCACTTAAAACAGGGCCTGACCCATACAAATGCAATGTGTTTCTTCAAATAAATCTTTAAAAATCAATAAATAATTGGATCTCACAGAAATAATTTGGGTTAAAAAAAAAAAACCTTGAGGAAAAGTGGATGTCTGTCTGGAATTTTAGCCAACTGGAGGGTCAAAATGTTTGCTTTCTGTGTGATGATGCATTTACCTCCATAGTGTAATTTTCCACACTTATCCCGAGTCCCTCACTTAATGCTACTGTCTGGGATCTCCTTCCTATTGGAGGAAGCCCCTCCCCAGTGCTCGAAGAGACCAATGTGGGATGACCCACACTTAGGCTCACTGGCATCTCCCTCCCGCCCCCCACTGCAGCCACTGGTCCTGCCCTGGTGCTGTTTACTCTCAACTTCACCATCAGTAACCTGCACCACCAGGAGGGTATGAGTCACCCTGGTTCCTGGAGGTTCAACAGCACCCAGAGAAACCTACAGCGCCTGGTGAGAGCCCCACCCTCAGCACTCCTGCCTCGCCCACCAATGCAGGCACTACCTACCTGTTCTCTGCCATGCCCCCAGAGAGCCCATCTACCTCACCTGTGCCTTCCCCCATGCAAGTCCCGCCTACTAGTGCCAGCCCCACCCATCTCATTTCTACCCTGTTCTCCACCCCTCAGACTTTCTACTCACTTCCCTCTCCTTTACAGCTAGGACCCTTGTTCAAGAACACCAGTGTGGGCCCCCTGTACTCAGGCTGCAGACTGACCTTGCTCAGGTGAGTCCTTGCAATCCATGGCCAGGGCTGCCTCAAGGGCTCCCAGACCCCAGGTGTTCCCTCTGCTTCCTTCCTGCCTTCTCTGTCCATGTCCTCAGCAGAAGTGGAATTCAGGAGGCACTGGCTCTTCTGATGTAACCACCCCCCACCCCGCCAACTGTCCCCAGATTCTGCAGAGCCCCTCAGCAGGATGGAGACCCTAGTCTGGTTATCCTTCTGAATTCCCTCCTGTCTCCCTTTGACCAAAGAGGGCATTTTCTTTAGGTTTTCAGGGATGGAATTCTTAAGACAAGCATGCCTTTTCCACTTGCTTTAATCCAAAATTCTAGCTCTTCACCTGTCTCAAGTAGGAGCTCTCCTGTCCCCATGCCAGGAGCTTGCAGGTTTCAGACTTGCAATTTAATACAACTCCTCCCACCCATTGACTGTGTGCACAGCCCCAGGCTGGCCAGAGGTGGGTGTCATCCTTCTCACTTGCCCTGACCCCTTCCTGTCCTGCCCTAGGGGTCCCTGGAGCCCTGCCTGGGGACTCCAACTTTTGTTACCCCTACCCACCCACCCCCAGGCCTGAGAAGGATGGGGCAGCCACTGGAGTGGATGCCATCTGCACCCACCGCCCTGACCCTGTGGGCCCTGGGCTGGACAGAGAGCAGCTGTACCAGGAGTTGAGCCAGCTGACCAGTGGCATCACCAGGCTGGGTCCCTACACCCTGTACCCAGACAGTCTCTACATCAATGGTGAGGATTGCCATCTGCATCCACATTTCAACAGGCCCCACGTCCTCCTCTCCATCCCTCCCTTTCACTCATTACTCATCCTTCTCACCTGTTCTCCCTCTACCTGTGCAGGTTACACCCGTCAGACCTGGGCCACCACCCCCAGCAGTGAGTATTCAGAGGCTTCAGAAGTCTCTGAAACCCCATGACTCCCTCTGCAACCTTAGAATGGAAGCGGCCAGGAGCCCACTGCCTGCCCTCTGCACCCCTGCTCCACCCCCAGCCTCAGGGGAACGGGGACTTATACCCATTAAAGCTCCAGATGTAGGCGCTGGTCCCTGGCATCTGCAGGATGATGAGGTCCCCACCCCAAGCACTGGTTTGCTCCCAGCTTCTGGGATGACAGAGGGTACCTCAATGGTGAGGGCCGTGTTGGGCTGTGGGTCTCCTCTGCACGGAGGGGGCTCTGCTGCATCAGGATTCTGTATGAGTTCAGACCTCCACTGGGGGTTCACATTTCCAAGTGCTTTGAGCAGGTCCTTTGTCTGTCTGGAGATGGGGGGGGGGGCGGCAAGTAGACTTTGATCCCTTCCAGTGCTTAATCGTCTTCCTTTTAAAGAATCCCAGCTGTGATGGTCCAGTGCCATCTCTCCAGCAGCCGAGTTGCCTCTTCATTGAGGACCTCTCCCTTCCCCTCCTCACTGTCGCTCCCTCTCTTTGCAGGTTACACCTATCCAGCTTCAGCCACCACCCCCAACAGTGAGTATTTCAGACCTCTGTGTGCCTGGGACCGCCACCTTTTCCCTAAAGATAGGAGCTGCTCAACCAGCCAGGCCTTCCCTCCTGTTCCCCCCTTCTGGATGGGAAGGAGTCCAGAGGATGTGCATGGAAGTGTGGGCTGAGCTGGAGGTGACAGGAGCCACCCCTCCCCACAACACAACCGGGAACAATGCTCTGACTCCAGGCTACATGGGGCATAGAGACAGGCACACAGTTTAAAACTAGAGCTGCTTCCACTGCCAGCATTCCCTTACAGGTGTAACACTTCTGATTTCATCCCTTGAGTTCTTTTCCCTCTCCTACTGTGACCTCTGCATCCTTCCCCATGTCCTCTCTGGCTCCATCCCTCAAGCCTGCAAGTAGAAAGGTCCTACCGGTACCAAAATCATTTCTACAAAATCATTCATTCAAGATCACTTCTTCCCTCATTATTGCTTACTTAGCTTCCCCGAGGAAAATCATGCATTTCTGTGGGTTTCAGGGACCATCTAGCTGCTCAGGGTCCAGCTGTTCAGAATCCTAATCCTGAGTCCAGCCCACTCCACACAGCAGCTCTTGGCCCTTGGTCCACCCACCTCCTTGACATCACCCAACCCCTTGGTCTCTGACCCTGAAGTCACCATCTTCTCCCAAACTCGCTCCTTTCCCTTATCACCAAAGGCAAGGACACAGGTGCCAAACTTGACCCTCCCTCTCACTCACCTCCCACATAATCCATCACCAAATCATTTCTTCTCCCTTCATAATATCTTGTAAGTCCTTTCTCTGTCTCTGTGTCATTCAGCCTTTATTCAGGCCACTGGCATTTTTTGCTAGGACTCGTGCAGTAGCCTCTACTCTGGTCTCCTACAGTCCTCTGCACAGCAGCCGCCAACAGCCCTCCCAGTGTACCTCTGTTCACATAATTCCTGTCTTGTTGGCACTCTTTGGATGACTCCACCTTATCTACAAGTCATGTCCAAACCCCTGAGCCGTATAGTTACTGCCCCCCTTTCAGGGCTCAGAGGGCCCCTCCAGTCTCATGTCTATACTTCCACAGGGCGATAATGAAAACATTCAAGTCCCTTGAGTGCAACTGCTCTGTCCTCCTGTCAGGCTCATACCCAGACTGATTCTTCTGCTTGAGCACTCTTCCACTTTCTCAGCCCCTGTTCACCTATAACTCTTGTTCATGCTTTTGGTCACACCTGAAATGATGCTTCCTCCTGGAAGCTGTCCTCAGTCATTGGTTGGGTGCCTCCCTGGAACTGCACAGCCTCCCGGCTCCTCTGCAGCGTAACAGTCTGACTACTCTCCTGGCCACAATATTAGGAGACTATGCCCTATTCACCCTTGGACCCACAGAGCCCAGCACAGAGCCTTGCACACATTAGATGCCCAATATACACTGCCTGAATGAATGAGCAAAAGTTCCCAGTGTCTCAAAAATCCCATAACATTCTCTCCTTCAGCTTCTGCAGTCCGTGGCTGTACTTAGGCCCATTGCTGGGTGCTCCACTGTTAGAGCTCCAGGCAACCTTGGTCCTTACTAGGGTCCAAACTGGACATTTGTCTCTTCTTCCCCCACTACAGCCACTGGCCCCACTCTGGTGTCCTTCACCCTGAACTTTACCACCACCAACCTGCACTACACTGAAGACATGGGGCACCCATCTTCTTCCAAGTTCAATTCCACTGAGAGGACCCTCCAGCACTGGGTGAGAGCCCCTCAATGACCACCATCGGCCCCACCACACACCGGCTTGTGTAGTCCTTCAGCCCTTCTGCTCACCGCCCTCTCTTTCTCCACCAGCTCAGGCTTTTGTTCCGCAAGACCAGTGTCGGCCCCCTCTACGCTGGCTGCAGACTGGCCTCGCTCAGGTGAGACCCCCAGATGGAGGGAGGCTTGGGTCCGGTGGACCCTCACGTATTGGCCAGCAGGGCTCAGTTCCTGGGCATGCCTTTGGACTGCTGGCCTCCGGCACCCACCATGACACCTTCATGTGTTCGTGCCCAGATGGTGGGGATGCTCAGTCCTTAGAAATGAGGCGTCATGTTTATACTTACGGAATCCGGATGATCGTTTGTTTTAGACGAAAGTTTTCCTCTTAGAAGAACAACTATAGGGCGCCTGGGTGGCTCAGTTGGTTAAGCGACTGCCTTCGGCTCAGGTCATGATCCCGGAGTCCCGGGATCGAGTCCCGCATCGGGCTCCCTGCTTGGCAGGGAGTCTGCTTCTCCCTCTGACCCTCCTCCCTCTCATGTTCTCTGTCTCTCATTCTCTCTCTCGCAAATAAATAAATAAAATCTTTTAAAAAAATAAATAAATGCTATTCATAAACAAACAAACAAAAGAATAAAATTCTGCAAATGTCCTATATCTGGGGCTAGAGCTTCAGGAAGATTCTCAAAGCCACAACCTGGAGCTAATTAAATTAATAACATCACCCTGTTAAAAACTGGCTGCTCTTCAAAAGACACTGTTAAAAAAAAATGAAAGGGTAGGGTGCCTGGGTGGCTCAGTCGGTCAAGCGGCTGCCTTCGGCTCAGCTCATGATCCTGGAGTCCCAGGATCGAGTCCCGCATCGGGCTCCCTACTCGGCAGGGAGTCTGCTTCTCCCTCTGACCCTCCTCCCTCTCATGCTCTCTGTCTCAAATAAATAAATAAAATCTTTAAAAAAAAAAAAAAAAAGAACAACTATATCTTGTCTTCATATTCCAGTTAAAGTGTTTTCTGTTCTTAGTTGTAAGGGGGTTGTCTCAGACAAGAGACACTTATGAGAGCCCCTCTGGGCTTGAGCCAGCCCTTTCTGTCCCCTCTCAGCCTCCTGCCTTCTACTCTCTCTTGCTTTCCAAATCCAGAAGGACCCCTCCTCAGTATTGCACATCCCCATGTCCTTCCTTCCCCAGGCTTGAGAAGGGTGGAGCCGCCACTGGAGTGGACATCACCTGCACCATCCACTCTGATCCTGCAGGCCCCAGGCTGGACAAAGAGCAGCTGTACTGGGAGCTGAGCCGTGAGACCTATGGCATCACCCAGCTGGGGTCCTTCACCCTGGACAGGGACAGCCTCTACGTCAATGGTGAGGGGCTGTGCTCCAGGCAGGGTCTCTCTCCTGGCCAGAGTTTTGTGTTTCTCCAAAAGGAGCTGTGGTACATCTCCTTCTCTAATCTCAGTTCAGTCTTCATTCTGATGATGTAACCATGGGCTCCAGCCACCTACAATCTCCTTGCCTGGATACATCCTCCCTGAGCATCCCTCCACTCCCTCTTCCCCTCTACTTTTCCTACAAAGGCCCCTAAATCCTGCCTTTCCCTTAATCCCTTATGCTCACCCTGACTCTTGCTCATCTCCTCTGGCCTTCTCTCCGCAGGTTATAACTATGGAGCCATAGCCCCGACTACCACTAGTGAGTATTCCTGGCCCTGGTTTCCTGGGTGCCGTCCCCACTCTGTTCTCCTTTACCTCCTGTCCTTGGTGAGGAAAACATGTGGAAGGGCCCCTCACTCATCCCTTCTCTCCCTGGGTTCTGGTGGAGAGCCCCATCCCAGGGCAAGAGCATCTCACATACAGGTCTGTCCTCCCACCATTCTGACCCTCACATGGTTATCACTCAGATTCTCCTAAAACCCTGCCCTGGTACTCTTCTCGTATCCTTTTACTCACCCCTCTGTTTGTTGTTCTGAGGGCGTCTCAACATCAGCGTTGCACCATTTGTTGGGTTTTCAGCGGACACGTATTGAAGCTGGCTGCCTCCTGGGCATCGTGCTATGTTACATACTGTCTTAGTCAGCTCTGGCAGCCACAGGCTGGGTGGCTCAGATGACGGAAATGTGCTGGAGGCTGAAAGTCCAGATCAAGGTGCCAGCAGGGTTGGTTGCTCTGAAGCCTCTCTCCTTGCATGCAGGTGGCACCCTCTTGCTGCCTCTTGGCATGGCCAATCCTTTGCACACACAAAGTGTGTCCTAATCTCCTTTTCTTATACCGACAGCACCCAGATTGGATTAGGGCCCACTCCAAAAGCCTCATTTTAACTCAGTTACCTCTCTAAAGGCCCTGTCTCCAAATGCAATCACCTACTGAGGTACTAGGGATTAGAGCTTCTTGAATTTTGATGTGTGTGTGCAGGGAGGGAGGGAGACACAATTCACCCAAAAACACATGCACTTTATCCTTTTGTTCTCAGTACAACCACGTGACTAATTTCCATTTTACAGATGAGTACCCTCAGGCTCGGAGAGGCTGCCAAGCCACATAGCAAATAAATAATAGAACCAGGGGCGCCTGGGGGCACCTGGGTGGCTCAGTTGGTTAAGCGACTGCCTTCGGCTCAGGTCATGATCCTGGAGTCCCGGGATCGAGTCCCGCATCGGGCTCCCTGCTCGGCGGGGAGTCTGCTTCTCCCTCTGACCCTCCACCCTCTCATGCTCTATCTCATTCTCTCTCTCAAATAAATAAATAAAATCTTTAAAAAAAAAAAAAAAAAGAACCAGGGGCGCCTGGGTGGCTCAGTTGGTTGGGCGACTGCCTTCGGCTCAGGTCATGATCCTGGAGTCCCTGGATCGAGTCCCGCATCGGGCTCCCTGCTCGGCAGGGAGTCTGCTTCTCCCTCTGACCCTCCCCCCTCTCATGTACTCACTCTCTCTCATTCTCTCTCTCTCAAATAAATAAATAAAATCTTTAAAAATATATATATATATAAATAATAGAACCAAGAGTTTCTGTAACTCTGAAAACTCACAGTCTCACTCATCCATCAGTTCATTTCCTTAAAAAGACATGCTGATTTTGGGTGTACACCTGTTGTGTTCAGGTTCATCCCCGGCAAACCCTGGAATGAGGACCTTGTAGCTTTTTCAGGAATTAATTGCCCTTGCATTAGAGGTGTGTTTTTGCAACCCTCTCAAACTCTCTTCTTGGGTCCATCTCTGTTCTTTTACACCACAGCATTCTCCCTCACTCCTTCCAACGTTAGCAGGATTCCAGGCTCTTCAGATCCAATGACAACCATCTTTTCCCAAATGATAGGAGGACAAATAAGTTAGTCAGTTCCATTGACTGTGTTTTGTTGATCAGTATCCAGTCCTTAGAGTAGTTCCAGAAGCATTATAGGATCAATTCAATGTACATGGATGGAAGGCAAGATGGATGGGTAGATGGAAGGAAGGAAGGAAGGAAGGAAGGAAGGAAGGAAGGAAGGAAGGGAGAAGTGATGAATGAAAGGAGTAACAGAGGATGGATGGGCAGATGGAAGGAAGAAAAGATGAATGGAGGGGGAGAAAGAGAGAGGAAAGATGTCTAAATAGATAGAAGGAATAGATATGAAAGAAAGGAAAGATGGATGGATAGATGGAAGAAAAGAAAAGGTGGAGGAAGGAAGCAAGGAAAGGTGGATAGAAGGAAGAAAGTGAGGATAGAAGGAAGGACAGACAGAAGGATGCATAGAAAGAGGTATGAATGGGAAGAGGGAAGGAAAAGAAGAAGTGAGAAAGGAAGGAATGATGTATGCAAGGTTGGTGAATGGATGGATAGATATGATGGGTACATGGATGGATGGATGGATGGATGGATGGATGGATGGATGGTTGGGAGGGTGGGTGGATGGATGGAGACATGGAGGACAGATGGTTGGATAGATGGGTGGATAGACAGATGATAGAAGAAAGGAAAGAAGGGATTGAGAGAGGTAGAAGAAAAGGTGGATAGATGGAAGGAAAGATTGAAGGAAAAAGGATGAATGCATGGATGAATAGAAGGAAAGAAGGAAGGACAGAAGGAAGAATAGACAGAAGGGAGCTTGGAGGGAGTAGTGAACAGGAAGGAGGAAGAGAAGAGGGGAAGTAAGTTTTTCTTCCAGAGGTTTGTCCTGAATAGTTAACCCTGTGCTGCTCACTGCTTATCTATTCGAGAGTCAGGCCACGGGGCCTCTGGTCCATTTATTATACTTCTCCTGGGGCCTACACAGGTCACCCCAACCATTGAACACTGAGCCAGCTGAATGTGTCTAAGCAAGAGCATATGTCTTCAGGGGCGCCTGGGTGGCTCAGTCGTTAAGCGTCTGCCTTTGGCTCAGGTCATGATCCCAGGGTCCTGGGTTTGAGCCCCACATCAGGCTCCCTGCTCGGCAGGAAGCCTGCTTCTCCCTCTCCCACTCCCCCTGCTTATGTTCCCTCTCTCGCTGTGTCTCTCTCTGTCAAATAAATAAATAAATAAAAATCTTAAAAAAAAAAAAAGAGCATGTATCTTCACAGGGGAAGTCATGAGCAAGGACTCTGGGATTGGAGAACTTGGGTCCAAACCCAGACTCTCCCTCTCCTGTCAAGTAACCCTGGGCAGAAGACTATTTCTGTACTGTGATTCCTCCTTTGTTTAGTGTGGATGATTCTAGCACCCAGCTCATATTTATCCGGGTAAAAAGCTCCATGTATAGTGAGTGATCAGAAAGTATTTGATTATTTGTTTTATATAATGAACACTTATATCGTGTTTACTCTGTGCCCAGCCCTGTGCTTAAGCACTTTACAGAATTTGACTTGTTCAAACCTCATTACAGCTTTTGAAGTAGTAATAATTATTATCTTACAGATGAATAAATCAAGGCACAGAGAGATTGGTTGCAGCTCCTAGGTGGCTTTTTTTTTTTTTTAATGCAATGCATAGAAGATTGGCATACCTGGGTGTAAGAGAGAGACAGAGAGAAAGAAAGAGAGAAAACGAGAGACAGAGGCACAGAGAGATAAAGAGATAGAGATGGGGGAGCAGAGAGAATATGGAGGACCATGTCTGGGGTTTTTCCTGGCTCCACATCAGTGTGGTAAGTTGGAGCCTTTCCTTCCCAGACAGAACAAAACCACTGGTGTTTTCACAGAGCCCTCCACTCCTGCACCTGGGTGGGAATACCATCTCCAGCCCCCAAATCATTAAGCCTGCCCTTACTTGCTGCTGGAGGTATCTCCATTAACAAGCAACCCCCAGATTTATCTGGAGGAGGACAAGAGGCCCTTGGAAGCCCCACGGTGGGTGGATATTGGGTGCCCTGACCTTCCCACAAGCCTTGGCTCTCCCTGCACCTGTCACAGCTCTGGAGGTCAGTGAGGAGCCGTTCACACTGAACTTCACCATCGACAACCTGCGCTACTCAGCAGATATGGGCCACCCCGGCTCCCTCAAGTTCAACATCACAGACAGCCTCATGCAGCACCTGGTGAGAGGCCAGCTTCCCCGTCCCCACCTCCATGACCCCTCCTCTGGGCTGTCACCAGCTGTGACCACACTGGCCCTCTCCTTCCTCTCCAGCTCGGCCCATTGTTTCAGAGGAGCAGCCTAGGAGCCCGATATGCAGGCTGCAAGGTCACCTCACTAAGGTGAGAACCCCTCCACCCACCCACCATGGCCCATCACCAAAGGACAGGACTTCTGACTATGGGGGGCCACTCCCAGCTGTGGCAGACTGTCTTAGAAGGTCCTTTTTGGCATCCATGTCTTTATGTTACATTATTGTTATAATTGTGACAAAATACGTATAGACATAAAATTAGCCATTTCACCACTTTAAAGTATCCATTTCAGTGGCATCTGTTACATGCACGATGCTATGAACCCATGACCACTAGTAGTTCTGAAACCCTTCATCACTCAGGCAATTACTTGCACTTTTCTGGGTTGGTATGCATTCTGTAGGTGTCTACAAAGCACTTTTCCATCTGCGTTTTCCATTCCACTGTCACTGGTGGTGCAGATCCTCTGAGGCAGGTGGTGGGTACCAGAGTGAAGCACAGGCATTGCCCCTGCACTCATCTAGTGGAGAAAGCAGAAACTAAGCAGGAGAATAAATATCTAAAAGGGTTTCAAATATAGTAAGGTGATGGGAAGCAGAAGTGCATAGAGACGGGAAAGCAGCTTTACCCAGGGCACAGGACAGTGCATCTGTGGAGGTGATTTCTGAGCGGTATCGCAGTTGGAAAAGAAGGATTTGGCCATGAAAACTGTTCCAGTCAGAGGAAACAGCATGGGCAAAGGTCCTGAGGTAGGAATGAGCTTGGCATGTTCAGTGAACAGCAAGGAGGCCGGTGTGGCTGGAGCAGAGAGAGAGGGTCAGAGAGAAAGGAAGTGCATTTCCAGATAGCAACAAGGTCTACACTATGCAGAATCTTGGCGGGAATTGATTTTTTTTTTTTTTAATTGTGGTAAAAGATGCCATAACAGAAAATTTACCATCTGAACCATTTTTAAGTGTCCAGTTCAGTAGTGTTAAGTATATTCATATTGTTGTGCAGCCAATCTCCAGAACTTGCACAAACTGAAACTCTGTATCCATTAAACAATAGCTCCCCACTTCCCTCTACCCCCAGATATTAGCAATCACCATTCTACTTTCTGTCTCCATGAATTTGATCACTCTGGGTACCTCATTACAAATGAAATCATATGGTATTTGTCTTTTTGTGTCTGTCTTATTTCACTGATCATAGTGTCCTCAAGGTCCATCCACATTGTGGCAGGTGTCAGGATTTCCCTCACTTTTAAAGCTGAATCATATTCCATTGTATGGATATATCATATTTTGTTTATCCATTCATCAGGACTTTGGTTTTTGCATGGAACAGGCAGTGTGCGAGGTGCTGGGAGTTTGGCACAACAGTGAGCCAAACTGTCCCATAACACTTCCTCATGGAGGCCACTGTCTGGAGAGAAAAGGAAAAATGATACATGTTAACACTGAGGGCCATCAGGGCTGGGATGGGGGAAGCATGAGGTCCTGTGGCAGCCAGGACCCTCTCTTGATTCAGTCTGGGAGGGTTCTTGGAGGTGTCTAAGTTGAGATCTGAAGGATGACCGGGAAATTACCGGAGAGCGAGGAGAGAAGGGGAGAGACCTCCAGACAGAAGTCGCTGCATGTGCAAAGATCCTGGGGTGAGAGTGTGTGGCCAGGTGGAGAAACTGTGAATGGTTCAATAAGGCTGGAACACAGGATATGATGTGTGCAGTGACCACAGGTGGCAAGGTGCCACATGGGCTGTACTCCCTACACATCGATCTCTCCTTCCTCAGGTCTGTGAAGAATGGCGCCAAAACAAGGGTGGACATCCTCTGCACCTACCGGCAGCCCCGCAGCAGCCCAGGTCTGCCTGCCAGGCAGGTGTTCCATGAGCTGAGCCGGCAGACCCGTGGCATCACCCGGCTGGGCCCCTATTCTCTGGACAAGGACAGCCTCTACCTCAATGGTGAGCGATTCTCAGCCCCCCTCACTGCTTCCACCCCTCCATCCCACAGGTCAGGTCTCTAGGGGAAACCTTGAGACAAACTCAGGTGTGAATCTCAACTCCATACTGACCCCCACCCTCCAACTGTCACTCCGTAAAACTGTCCCTGATCACACCTGTTTTACAGATGAAGAAATGGAGGCTCTAAAAGGTTAAGTAATTTGCCCAAGTGGGTGTAGCTAGAGAAGAGTGGAGCCAGGCATGAGCCCCAGCAGTCAGCATCCAATGCTATGCCCTACCCTATGCCTTTAACTCCTAGAAGGGTCGTTCCAGGGGATACACGGGGAAAGAAAATCCCACATCTGTCTTCCCTCCCAGCTTCTCACCCTAGACCAGAGATGGGCTTCTCTCCTGGGTGGGGCCCCAATGCCAGGAAGTTAGGTGGGCACTCTGAACATCTGTGGGGTCCAAGCTCTGGACATGCTGGGTATCAGCCTAGAAGCCAAGAAGGGATAGTGTTTAAGAGGGTGACCCTCCTCTGGGGTTCTGAGAGGCAGAACATGGAACATGGTGAGGTTTATTGGAATAACTCAGCTTCTCTCCTCTCTGTCCCCAACTTGGGGATGGTGTTTGGCAACTCACACTTTCTTATCACCATTGCCACATAAGGTGGGCAGGGAAACATCCTGGTCCTTTATGACTCATTTGAGCAAAGAGGGAGATGTACAGAGAAGGGAAGGGACCTGCCCATGCTACTCATAGGTTTGTGGTAATTCTGGGTCTTGATGTTGTGAGTTCACATCTGTTCCCTTCACCTTGGCCATTGCAGGGGCCAGTTTAGGATATTTCCCCCTGTAAAATATGCTTCATTTTGTTCACTCAGTCAGCAGTCACCAGCATCTGCTATAAGCCAGGCCTTGTGCCTGGCACCAGGGATAGACAGGCTACATGGGCAACCTGTCTTAATGTAAGCTCCAAAGGGGCAGAGACATTTTGTTCAATGCTGTATTCCCCAAATGTATAGAACTTGGCACATAGTAGGTTCTCAATAAATTGTTGTTGGATGGAGGGATAGATTGAAGGGCGAGTGGAAGGGTAGATGGTGGGATGGATAGATATGTGGAGGAATAAATGTGTGAACATAAATGTGATGAGTCTCTTGGGGGCATGCTGGAGAGGTGGATAGGGAAGGGTCATCTCTAACTGGAAGATCGGGAAAAGCTTAATGATGGAGATTACATTTGAGTCTGATCTTAGAAGATGCATAGATGCTTACCTGGTACACAGAGGAAAAGGCATCCAGCAGGAGTCCCACACGGACAAAGGCATGGAATATCTGGGATTGTTCTGCCATCTCCCCTTATGTGTGACATTTTTGTTTCCAGGCTATAATGAACGTGGTCCAGATGAGCCTCCTACAAGTATGTATCTTTGCATCCAGTACCCATATCAGCCTCTATGGGTCTTGAGCCAAACTTTTCTCCTCACTAATAAAGGGAGCTTGCCCCAAACTCAGGCTGTTTTCCTGAGTGGGGCCAGGTGTCAGTGGGAAGAAGAATGCTGAGTCCTTGGTCTCTTCTGGGCCTGCAGGCATGACTTTGGCTTTCTAAACTTTCCACACCCTTTTGGGTTGGAGGAAGAAATTTGAACAAACATTTCCTACAGGGATGCGGGTTGAGGTCAGATGATGAGTCCATGCCTCCTGAAAACAAGATCTCCTACAAGGGCCACAGAAGGGGCCTCAATGTAGAGCTGAAAACTGGTGGCCACTCAGTGGTTTGGCCAAACTTGCCTGTTCAGTTGTCCAATGGTCTCTTCATCTATCTTTTAATCCATCCATTCTTCCATTCTCCGAGTTATCTCTTCTCTCAGACTTCATTCTTCCTTCCTTCCTTCCCTCCATTCATCCTTTCTTTCTTCTTTCCCTTTGTCCATCCATGCATTCATCCATTCTTCCTTCCTTCCATTCATCCATCCATCCTTCCATCTCTCCTTCTTTCCTCCATCCTTCATTCCTTCTCTCCTTTGTCCATCCTTCCATCCATCCATCTTTCATTTTTACCTTTCTTCCATCCATTCATCTCTCCATCCATCCTTTCTTCCTTTTCCCTCCATCCATCCATCCTTCATTCATTCTATGCTTCATCCATTCTTCTATCCTTCCTTTCATCCATCCATCTGTCCATCCATCCATCCATCCTCTGCCTATTCTCTTGCTTGTCTTTTCCTCCTTTTGTCCTTCTTTCCATCTCTCCAACTTTTCTTCCTGTGTTTATTCTTGCTTTCTCTTTGACCCTCATTTGTTCACTCTTCCTATGTCAATCCAGGTATCCCATCTGTCTGCCTGCTTTTCTGCCCATTCATCTCCCTGTCCTCTTTGCTTAGTCTCTCTCTTGTTTATCTACTCTACTTTCTTAAGTTTATTTCACTCATGGGCTCATTCACCCCTCTGCTCACACAATTCCTCCTTCCCTTACTCTCATTTATGGCACACCTGTGAATGCCTGTCCTGGGACAACCACTGCTGGAGCCCAGGCAAGCTTTGGGGAGTTTCTCCCACTCTGTGGGGACTCTGTTCCTTCCTGATGACTGCCCTTTCCACAGCTCCTGAGGCAGCCACCACATTCCTGCCTCGTTCATCATCACCTGTGCAACTAGAAGCCACCACAGGTATCTGGGAGATCCCTTTTCCTTCCCAAGAAAAGCTCTCCAGCCCCACACCTCTACCAGTCAGTTGTAAAATTCTGGTATAGGACAGTCATGTCAATAGCAAAGATTATACTGACAATTCAATCTAATGCATACCCTCATGGAGCCCCCAGGGTTGTGAGATCAGCAGACCATTATAACACAGTGTGAGACATTTTAGGGAAAGGCACCTAGTATAATTTTGAGGGGAAGGGCTTTCTGGAGAAAGTTTTACCCAAACTGAGTCTTTAAGAATGAGGAGGGCTCATCCAGGAAAATAGGCGATGAAGAGTTTTCCTGGTATAGGAGATTCAGTGAGCAAAGGCTCAGTGGCCAGAAACAGCATCGTGTATGGAGAGAATTGAGAGGGATTTGGTTTGCTTAAAGCATTAAGCTTAACCTGGAATAGATGGATAAGTGGAGCTGAAAGGTTGGAAAGAACCATATTGGGAAGGACCTTGAGTACCAGGTCAAGAAGCTTGAACTTGACACTGAAGGCCAAAGGAAGCCATGGGCAGTGGTGACTATACTGAAACTTTCACTTAAGAAAATTTCTTCTAGTGTTCAGTGTAGAGAACATTCTTTAGAGAGGGCATCCAGTATGTCTGCTGGGGTGTTGGCCCAAGTGAGAGAAGATAGGCTTGGGCTGGAACAGGATAGAGAGGATGTATCTGAGGACTCTTCTGCAAGTGGAATTGGGGTTACTTGGAGGGGAGGGAGGAGGAGCTGAGCAACATGATGGTTTTGACTTGGGTGACCAAATGGTGGGTGGCTGGTGCCACTGGAAGAGAAGATGACAGAGTACAATGAATGCAGGACTCTGATTTGGTCTCAGGCTAACTCTCAGTAGTAGCCGTCTCTCCCCTCTCTTCTTGTAGCTATGGGACACAACCTGAAGACCTTCACACTAAACTTCACCATCTCCAACCTCCAGTATTCAATGGACATGAGCAATGGCTCAGCTGTGTTCAACTCCACCAAGAGGACCCTGCAGCACCTGGTGAGACCCTGCTCCCAGCAGCTCCAAGTGGGATAAATTCCACCCAGCCCTTCCCCCACCCTTGTCTCTCCTGTTCATTCTCCTCCTCCTTCCTCCCCAGCTTGGATCCTTGTTCCAGAAAAGCAGTCTGGGCCCCTTCTACTCAGGTTGCAGACTAATCTCCCTCAGGTAGGACTTTTTCCTGAGCATTTGTCAGTAGTGACCATTTTGGTGACCAACCCTCCCAGTCTTCCCACTGACCTCCCATTTGCTCCTCCCTCCTTGTGGCCCCCATAGTGAGGTTTCAGGACCTCTCTTTAGAGTCCCCACATCCCTCTGTCCCCAGACCTGAGAAAGATGGGGCAGCCACCCATGTTGATACCATCTGCACCTACCGCCATGATTCCATGGGCCATGGGCTGAACAGAGAGTGGCTTTACTGGGAGCTGAACCAGCTGACCCATGGTGTCACCCAGATGGGCCTCTACACCCTGGTCAGTGACAGCCTCTTGGTCAATGGTGAGTGATTTACAGCAATCATTATTGGTCCCTGTTTTACTTTATTTACTCTTTAACAAGTCAGCCCAGGTTCTGATTAGGGGACACCCTCCCCAAACTCTCCATGGAGAGAGTCTCTCCTGTTATTTCAGGTAAATAGCATGAAATTCTTTGACCAATTGAAAAATGAATTTTAATTTGAACCCCAAATGTCTGACTCATGGAATCTTTTGGGACAGGAGTTCTTCTATGTGAGGCTCCTCTATGTCAGTGATTCTAACCTAGAGGCAGTTCTGCCCCTCAGGAGACACTTGGCAATGACTGGAGACATTTTGGTTGGAGAAGAGTGCTACCGGCATCTAGTGGCTAGAGGCCAGGGATGTTGCTAATGTCCTCCAACAAACAGGAGATCCTCACCACCAAGATTTACATAGCCCCAAATACCAGTAGTTCTGAGGATGAGAAACCCTGCTCTACATGGTCCCATGGTCCCTAGTATGGGCACCAGACCAACTTAATCATACTTCACCACAATTGTTTAATTACCTAACTCTATGAAATTAAGGTCTTGTAATATGGCACTGTAGCCTCAGTTCTTTATGTGTTAGTACATCGTCATACCCAATGAATGAGTAAATGAGTGAACAAAATGGAGATGAGTATCTCAGCCCCGCTATTTGAGGATCCACTGCAGTTCACATTCACTCCTTCAACAAACACATACACATTACCATTCTGTCCCAAGCCATGTGCTGCGTACAGAGATAGAACACACAGGTTCTGTCCCTGAAAATCTCATAACCAAGAGAACTGAATATTACTTAGGGACACACAAAAAAGGCAGAAACACTGCTATTAACAGGGTGCCATGGAAGCACAGAGGAGGGACAATTCAGGGAGGGCTACCTGGAAGAGGATATTATGTACCCAATACTGTACTAGGCCCAGGGACATGGCAAGAACAAGATCCCTACTCTCCTGGAGTTCCATCTCACTGGGGTTCTGAAACATGAGTAGGAGTTTTCCAGGAAAAGCAGAGGACTGAAGAACATTCCAGGAAGTGGAAACTGCATAAGCACAACAGAAAGCCTCGCCCCAGGACTGTAAAATTCCAGTTTTCCCCCCCTATGGGGTGACTTTCCATTTGGAAGCCCCCAGCATGTGGGCCTGACCTTCGCTGATTCTGACAGTAGGCACCATGCCTCTCTCTGTGCTAAAGGCTAAGAGTCTCCAACTGTCTTCTCTCCCTCTCATTGGCTCCAGGCTATGCACCCCAGCGTTTATCTACCCAGAGGGAGTATCAGCTAAATTTCCGCATCATCAACTGGAACCTCAGCAACCCCACATCCTTGGAGTACATAGCCCTGCGGAGGGACATCCAGGACAAGGTAGTGTCTCTCTCACCTGTCCCATCTCTCCTTGCCCTGGGTGCCCCCCTCGTTCCTCTGTCTGATTCACATCTGTTAAGTGGTTATTTTAACTCTCCACTTTACCTATGTGTTCTGAGTTCTCTCAGTTTACAAAGGTGGTGCTCTGGCTGCCTTCCCCATTTTCCAGATGGGCAAACTGAGGCTCAGAAAAGGGAGTGGTGTGCCTAAGATCACACAGCCAGGATTTGAACTCAGAGCTCCTTTGCTCCAAGGCCTATGTTCTTTCACTGGCTCCAGTAGCCCGCTCCAGCCCCAGGAGCCCTCCATCTCACCCACTGTCCCCCTTTATTCTAGGTCACCGAACTCTATAGAGGCAGCCAGCTACAAGACATATTCCACTCTTGCCTGGTCACCAACTTGACGTAAGTTGAGGAGGTTGGAAGCACTGGCTGAGCTGGCAGCTTGTGGCTCTGAGCTTCCATCCTGGCACAGTCTTTGAGCTGAAAGTCACTGACATGGTACCCATGCTCCCCCACATCCCTGTCATCTATTCCTATCATCTCCTTCCATAAGTCTTCAAAGGGGGGGCAGGAAAAGGATTAACCTCACAGGGCCACCAACACTAGCATCCACCACCTTCTCCTCTTCTGGATACTTTCAACAAAGATCAGCCCAATATTAACATTTCCCATGGCCGCACCCCTGCTGAGCACTTTCATGCATTGTCATCTCATGGGATTCTCACACAGCCCCTGTGAGATGGGTACTTATCGTGATCATCCCCATTGTTCAGATGGGGAAGCTGAGGCTCAGATAAGCGAAGTGAACAGCTCAAGAATTGCCCAAGTTGGGTTTGAACCCAGGTCTGTGAAGAATGGGTGGAAGAACTGAGACATCTATACTGGGGAACAGGAGGAACATGGACACAGTGCTGACTTTGAGTGTTTCCAAACTTCAGTTCCTTTGTCTCTAAGATGGGGATAATTATAATAATACCTTCCACCAGAGTGATGGTGAGGGAATGTGTAAGTCACTTCCTAAAAGTGCTCAATAGATGTTCGTTATTTTTATATTTGTTCTATTCCCAACTCCTGGAAACCTTGTATTTTTGGTCAGGTCTCCTCTAGCCTGGGAGCTCACCTCTCACTTCTTGCCTCTAGGTCTTTGGGTCTATAAAATAGGAATTCAGGAGACACTACTGATGTTGAGTGATGGCTGAGTTCCATGGTCTCTGTCCCTAGGTTGGGCTCCATGTTTGTCACCATCCAGGCACTGTTCTCTTCTAATGTGGACCCCAGCGTGGTGAAGAAAGTCTTTCTGGACAAGACCCTGAATGTCTCATCCCACTGGCTAGGCACCACCTATCAGCTGGCAGACCTTCATGTGACAGGTGCAAGATTGGGGGCTGGTTTCATGGCTTGAAGAGATGGGGCTATGAGAAAGGAAGGATGGGGCTTCTCAGTAGCAGTGGAATGGATGGAGGCTCTGGAGGGGAAAGGGGGGCTTTCTGGAGGCCCATGTTGATGACCCATGGCATTGGATCATCCAACAGGAGGTAGGAAGAAAACATGCAGCAACTGCACCCAAGGGAATTATTATTTTTACTCTTAAATCTTTCTGACCCAAAATGTAGAGTATCCAGAGTTGCCAGAGTCGTGCATCGATTGATTGATTGAAGGATGCATTCATTCATTCAACAATATGTCATGAAATTAAATAGGCACTGATGATGCACTGTGGTAACTGCTATAATCAGAGAATTTCAAGAGCCTATGGGAACCCCAAGGAGGGACACACAGTCCATCTTGGAAAGTTTTCTGGAGGAAGTGGTGAACAAACTGAGATGTGATGGTGAAGATGACTTAGCCAGTGGGAAGAGATGGGGAGTTGAGCTACATGTGTTTATAACCTAGAAGACAGAATATTTGGGGAGGCTATAAGGAGTTTGGTATGGCTGGAGCAAATACTTTGATGTGGGAGAAATGGCAGGTAAGGCTATAGATGCAGGCAGGGACTTTCTTGGGCACTGGAATAGTTTGCAGAGGAACACAACACAGAGTTCTGCTTTAGAAAGCTCATCCACTGGGTGCTGTATAGAGAGTGGATTGGGAGGGGGAGAAGACCAGAGGCAGCAAGACACATTAGGAACCTTGGTCAGCAAAGGTGTATGACGGATGTCCCCTGAGGTGATCAGCACCTGCACTTGCCTTCTGTTCCCCAGAAGGGCTCCAGTCTCCTCTTCCCCACATACTAGTGAGCTCTCATTATGCTTGGGGGAGAGTTGGATGGATAGACAGATCAGTGGATTCAAAGTGGCCAGATGGATAGAGGTTTTTATGTAGCCCACCTTTAAAAATCCAGCTCGGATCACATGGCCAGGAATAAGTAGACTAGCTGGAATGACTTCTTTGCTAATATCTTCACCTGATTGGGACTTTTATACCTTCTTTTTATTATAGAAGTGGAGCCATCAGCTCATCTACCAACAGACAAACCAACAAGCAGTCCCTTCCCCGAGCACTTCCAGCTGAATTTCACTGTCACCAACCTACTCTATTCCCAGGACATAGCCCAGCCAGGCACCACCAAACACCAGCAGAACAAGAGAAGTATTGAGAATGCGGTGAGAATGGGGTTGTGTGTCCACTCTGTCCCCAGGTAGAGACAGACCTATGGACACTGGGTAGTCAGAGGGTGATTTTTCATAACAATTCGTGAAAACAGGTTCTTTTTTTTTTACGTTATGTTAGTCACCATACAATACATCATTAGTTTTTGATGTGGTGATCCACGATCCATTGTTTTCGTATAACACCCAGTGCTTATGCCGATTTAGAAATTAAGAAACAGGCCCAGAGAGTTTCAGTAGCTAGTCCAGGGTCATGTAACTAAGTCATACCCTGGAATGGGATGTGCTTTGGTACACATATCTGGGCTAGCGTTTGTTGAGATAAGAAAAAATAGATGGGGCAGTATGCTCAGTGGCTCAAAATTCTCTGATGCCACTTGGCCTGGGATGATGATCAAGGGACCATCGCCCTGTCTTTCAGCTCAACCAGCTCTTCCAGAACAGCAGCATCAAGAATTTTTTCTCTGACTGTCAAGTTTTAGCATTCAGGTGAGTTCCAGCTCAGGACCTAATCACTCTGGAGACTCCTGCTGTCCTTTAAGTAAACGTGTCCCCATGTCATGGTCCCAGTTCTAGCTCTTATGGAAGATAGCCCTGGGAGTATACAAGTGTTACCTAAAAACCAACTTGTTCCTAAGCCAGTGAGCCCAACTGGCTTAGAAATTCAAGAAAGCCAGGGTAGACTTCAGCAGACTTGGAGGTGCCTGGTATTGGGGCCATGGAATATGGAATGTAGCATCCATGCCTTAAGAAATTAGCTGTTGAAGTCAGGATCCATAGAAGATGGGGGTGGCTAGAGCCAGATGACTTAGAATCCAGCAGTCTAATTGTGCGGCTCAGTAGTGTAGCCACTAATCAAGTGAAGCAATCCAAACTGTTTTACATCTATTAAGATATGATTCACATAGAAAATGTACCCCTTTGTAGTGTACAATTTAGTGGTGTATTTAGAGAGTGGTACAACCATCCCACTATCTAATGGTGGAATTTTTTTTATTATGTTCAGTTAGCCACTGTATACTACATCATTAGTTTTTGATGTAGATGTGATGTAGGGTGTGGAATGCTGTTGTTGTTTTTTTAATCCTATCCTCATTAGCAGTTGCTTCCTAGTCTTCCTTTATCTGCATCCCCTAGAAAACAATAATCTACTTTCTCTGGATTTGCCTATTCTGAACATTCCATATAAATGGATTCATATACTATGTGGTCTTTTGTGATTGACTTCTTTCCCTGAGCATAATGTTTTCAAGATTCATCCATGTTGTAGCACATATAGGTACTTCATTCCTTTTTTTATGACTAAATAATATCTGTTGTATAGCTATACTACTTTTTAAAAAAATTTTATTTAAATTCAATTTAATTAACATATACTGTATTATTAGTTTCAGAGGTAGAATTTAGTGATTCATCAGTGGCATATAACACTCAGTGCTCATCGCATCACATGCCCTCCTTAATGCCCATCACCCAATTACCCCAGCCCCCAACCACCTCCCCTCCAGCAACCCTCAGTTTGTTTCCTAGAGTTAAGAGTCTTTTATAGAGGAAAACCATAAGGGGGGCTATACCATCTTGCGTTTATCCATCCATTCATTGATGGACCTTGGGTTATCTCCACTTTTTATCTATTATGAGTAATGCTGCTATGATCATTCTTGTGTAAGTTTTTGCATCAGTTTGTGTCTTCAGTTCTCTTGGGCATATACATAGGACTGGTATTGTATGGTCATATGGTAATTCTGTGTTAACTTTTGAAGAACTACTGAACTGTTTGCCACAGAGGCTCTACCATTTCCCACTCCCACAAGCAATATATGAGAGTCCCAAACTATCCAGATTCTCAGCAACAATTTTTATTATCCTTTTTTTACTATAGTCATCCTAGTAGAGGTGAAGTGGTATCTCACTGTTGTTCCAATTTGTATTTTCCTAACAATTAGTGATGTTGAACATTTTTTCAAGTACTTATTGGTCATTTCTTATCTTCTTTGGAGAGATGTCTATTCAAGTCCTCTTCCCAGTTTTACGTTGATTTTTTTTATTGTTGAGTTATCATCATTTTGTATGTTCTGGATAGTAGACCTTTATCAGATATATGATTTGCAAATATGCTCTTCCATTTGTTACATTGCCTTTTCACCTTCTAGGTACTACCCTTTGAAACACAATGATTTTTAATTTTGATGGCTCTTAATTTATCAATTTTTTCTTTGGTTGTTTGTGATTTTAGTCCCAAATCTAAGAAACCATTGCCTAATCCAAATGCACAAAGATTTACACCTAGTTTTTTTCTAAGGGTTTTATAATTTTATCTCTTACATTTAGGCGTTTGATTTATTTTGTTAATTTTTGTCTATGTTGTGAGGTACGAGTCCAACTTCATTCTTTAGTCTGTGGATATCTAATTGTCTCAGTACCATTTGTTAAATAGACTATTCTTTCCCTATTATCTTGGCACTCTTGTTGAAAATCAGTTGTCCATGATTGTATGAGTTTATTTATGGATTCTAAGTTCTATACTTTTTAAAATTTTTTATTTAAATTAAATTTAGTTAACTTATATTGTATTATGAGTTTCAGGGGTAGTATTTAGCAATTCATCAGTTGCATATAACACCCAGTGCTCATTACATCATGTCCTCCTTAATGCCCGTCATCCAGTTACCTTATCCCCCACCCACCTCCTCTCCAGCAACCCTCAATTTGTTCCCTATAGTTAAGAATCTATTATGGTTTGCTTCCCTCTCTGTTTTTATCTTATTTTATTTCTCCTTCCCTTCCCCATGTTCAATTCCACTGCCTATATGTCTATCCTTATACTAGTGGCCATTGTTTTTATTACTGTAGCTTGGTAGTAAGTTTTGAAATTGGGAAATGGAGTTCTCCAGTTCTGTACTTTCTCCATATTGGTTTACCTATTTGAGGTCCCTTGCAACTCCATATGGATTTTAGAATCAGCTTGTTAATTTCTGTAAAAGAGTTAGCTGGGATTTTGGTAGGGATTGCATTTAATCTGTTGATCAAATTGGGGAGTATTTTAACATAATACATCCCCAGTCCATGAACATGAGATGCTCTTCCATGTATTTAGGTATTTTAAAATTTCTTTCAACATTTTTTGTAGTTTTCAGTACACAAATCTCACAATGCTTTTGTTGAATTTATTCCTAAGTGTTTTGTATTTTATCCTTTGATGCTATTATAAATAGAATTGTTTTATTAATTTCACTTTAAGAATGTTAATTACTAGTGTATATAAATACAGTTGATTTTTGTATATTGGTCTTATATCCTACATTCATGCTGAACTAATAGTTTTTAGTTTTGTGTGTGAGTGTGTATTAGGATTTTCCATATTCAATATGTCATCTGCAAATAGAGATAATTTTACATCTTTCCTTCCAATCTGAATGCCTGTCCTTTCTTTTTCTTGCCTAATTGTTTATTAAAATTACATTTATTAAAATGTAAATAAGATATGAAATGAAGGAAGACAACACTGTTTTGTCCGTGGTCTTAGGAAAAAAATTTTTAGTCTTTCACCATTGAGTATGGTTTTATCTGTGGGTTTTTCATGGATACTATTTTTCAGGTTAAGCAACTTTCTTTCTATTCCTAGTTTGTTGAGCTTTTTTTTTTTAATAATCATGAAGGATGTATTTTCTCAAATTCTTTTTTTTTGGATGTGTGTTATTTTTCCTTTATTCTATTAATATGCTCTATTCCGCTGATAATTTTTCTTCAGATATTAAGCCAACCTTTTAGCTAGAGGTGAAAGATTAAGACCTTTTCAAGTATTCACACCACCCCATACACTTGTGACCTTCTAGACCTCCCCCACAAGCATCAGAGCTTTTCAAAACCCCTCAGAGACATCTTATACCCACTTTTTAAAAAGTTTTTGGCTCACCTCTTGCCTGCACCAACTCGTGGTATTGCTCCTTCAGGCAGCTGCCATGTTAAACAACTATCACTGATTGGTTTTGGCACATGCCCTGGGGATAGGCTTCCCTCACTGAAATCGCTCTGAGTTGAATAAAGACAAGCCCTGAAAATGGGGCTTTTTAAAGGAATCTGCAGACAAGTCAACCATTGAAAATTCAATGGGAATGGGTCTTTTGGGGAACTCCAAATAAATTGTGGCTGATAGGCTGCTGGTTTTCACAGCTACCAAGTTCTCATACTGCTGGCTTTCAAAGTTATTATGAGAGCAGGATGGGAATAATGCAAGTTCTAATGCCGTAAATCTTGTTCCCTTTACCAGGATTCAGCCATTTTTTCCTTAACTAAATGATCCTCAGATTGTTGCAAGCCTTTGGTTAATTTCTAGATTTCTGAAAAAGTTCTGACCATTCTTCCCAGTGTTCTCAATGATTTTATGGATTTTTGGAAGTCCTACTGCAAACATTTCAAAAATGTTCTCCCCATGGCTTTTTATTTATAAACTAATTAAATTAAATAAAGTGAGACAGTTCCTTACCCACACTAACGTATTTTAAGTGCTCAACAACATGTGGCTAATAATGACTGTATTTTTATATTGCAAACACAAATGTTTGTATCATTGTAGAAAGTTCTTTTGGACAGGACCTAGAAGCAGGGAACCTAGAAGCAGGGTAGAATTCAAGATACCCTTGTTCATCCCTTTTGCCCTTCCAGGTCTGTCCCCCACAGCAGCCACACTGGGGTGGACTCCTTGTGTAACTTTTCACCATTGGCTCGGAGACTGGACAGAGTTGCCATCTATTTGGAGTTCCTGAGGCTGACCAAAAATGGTACCCAGTTGCAGAACTTTACCCTGGACAGAAACAGTGTCCTTGTGGATGGTAAGGCTTCTTGGTCATTGGGGCAGGAGTTGGGGGTCCAACCTCCCCATGTGGGGCCTTTTCTGGGAATTTAGAGACCTGGGGTTGAGTCAGCATTAAACTTTTTTAGGCTAACAGGAGGTGGCATACTCCCCCAGGCTTTATCCACCATTGAGGGAGAGGAAGGGACACCCAGTGGAATATTAGAGATACTTGCCTTCTCAGAGATAGCTCTGTAACCTCAGGCTGGTCACTTCCCCTCTCTGGAATTCTGTTTCTCATCCCTGTACTGAAAGTCACTTGGCCAGTGGTCAGTGAGGGACTCTAGCTCTGAGCTGTATGTGAACCAACCTTGCAGGCATAGGGGATAGACCTCTTTTCTCCAAGACAGGCTGTGTAAAAAAAGGACCTGTATAAAAATGGACCTGACTTGGCCCATAGGCTGTAGTTTGCCAAGTTCTGCTCTGGATCAGCACCATGCAGCAGAACTTTCTGCAATGATGGAATGTTCTATATCTGTGCTGTCCAGTGTAGTAGCCACATGTGACTATTGTGTACTTAAAGTCTGGCTATTGTGACTGGCTTTTATAGTTATTGATTTTGAATGTTACCAAGGTACCAGGTTTTTTATTTGATTTGATGAAAATTATTTTTAATTTAAAAAGCCACTTGTAGTTGCTCCATATTGGACAGCACATCTATAAGAAGTTGGCTGGGAATAAGTTGTACAGTAGGGTGACCTGAAACTCTCTTCCATGCCTGGTGGGTTCTGTGTGTCCCTACCCTCATGGGGTTTATGTTGCAGTTGCAATAACAAGAATAGGCAATTGAAAAGTATTAATTATTTGGTGTGAAATAATTCATACTTGGGAGTGGTCATCAGAGAAGTCTTCTTGGACAAAATTACATTGTAGGTGAATCCTGGAAAATGAGTATAAAACAACTTGGTAAAGGAGAAGGGGTGAATGTGTTTCTGGGCAGGGAAGAGAGCATTTGAGAGGGAATTTACAAATTTAGAGAGATCCCTTGGTCTTGCCAGCTATGATAACCCATTCTCCCCCCAACCATTATAAGATGGCCCAGCCCAATTTCAGTCCTCCTTGCCCAGAGATATGAATTTGATTTATTACATTCCTTGAATGTGATAATAGCCTTGGATTATGTAGCAAAGTGTCCTCATTTCTTAGAGAAAAATGGGTGAATATCATGATTTCTACTTCAACATTTCAGTGAAAATATGATGAAGCAAGGGTGGCAAGTGCTAACAATTTATACACTGGATGAAATATTGTTTTAATTGGGTGAAATATACATTGTTAAATCTAGATGATGTATGTTTATGATATTGTTCTATTTTTCTGTGTGTTTTAAAAGTTTTATAAAAAACATAAAAACAATACAAAAAAAGCATAAAACACAGTCACATGCATTCTCCATTTCATTCACTTCCAGGGTATTCTCCCAACAGAAATGATGTCTTAACTGAGAATTCTGGTAAGCCTCAAAGAAGCCCCAGCTCAGGATGGGGAAGGAATGTCTTGATGCTGTACCTAGTCAAAGAAAACCATGTACCCAGAGTCTTGATAATGATGAAAGCTGGACAACCCATGTCAGGGACTGTTAGGCACAGTACAGGGAGAGCAGGAGCCCTAGGGGAATGACAGGAGGTGGCTAACACCAGCACTTATCTCCCCAGACTTCCCCTTCTGGGCCATCATCCTTATCTGCTTGGCGGGACTCCTGGTACTCATCACATGCCTGATCTGCTGCTTCCTGGTAAGTAAGGAGGGTTGCTTGTCTTTTTACTATTGGGTTGTAAGAGTTCTTTATATTTTATAAATATATGTCCTTTGCTGGAAAAATGTTTTATGAATTTTTCTCACAGTTTGTGTGTGTCTTGCTTTTTCCTTTTTTTAATTGTTTTTTTACAGATTTATTTATTTGAGAGAGAAAAAATGAACAGGCAGAGGGGCAGAGGGAGAGGGAGAGAGAGAATCCTCAAGCAGATTCCCCACAGAGGGCAGAGCCTGATGGGGGGCTCGATCCCAGGACCCTGAGATCATGACCAGAGCTGAAATCAAGAGTTGGCCTCTTAATCGATTGAGTCACCCAGTGCCCCTTGCTTTTTCCTTCTTTTAAACAACATAAGTCTTAGAGAAACATAAGTGAAAGTCATAATGAGATACTATGACACATGAGGATGGCTAAAATTAAAAAGATTGACTCTTACAAGTGGTGGTGAAGATGAGGACTACTGGAACTCTCAAATAGTGCTGGTGAGAAATAGCTTAGATGCATCTTTAAAGGTTACATATACCTACCCAGCCATTCTACTCCTAGGAATTCATGGAAGAGAAATATAAAATAAAATAAAAATAAAATAAAATAAAATAAAATAATCTATACAAAGACTTGTACACAAATGTTCATAATAACTTCATAAAAACTGAAAACAACCCAGAGGTCCATCAACAAGTGAATGGATAAACAAACCATAGTCTAGCCCCACAAAGTAATACTAATTCAGCAATAAAAAGGAATAAATTATAAATGCATGCACTGACATGCATAAATCTCAAAATAGTAATATGGAGTGAAAAAAGCTGGATAACAATGAGTACATAATGTATGATCCTGCTTAAAGCAAATTGCAGAATACGAGCTAATCTACAGGGATATCATTCAGATCAGTGGTTGCCTGGGAACGAGAATGTGTTTGCAAATGGCAGGGAAGGAGGAATTACAAAGGAGCATGAGGACACTTTCGGGAATGACGAGCATTCCTTGTCTTGATTGTGGTGATGGTTCACGAAGTTATAATCAAAACTTATCAAATCGTTCACTTTTCATGCATACAGGTCATTGTACACCAGTTATACCTCAGTTAAGCTAGAGGGTGCCTGTGTGGAGGGAGAGGGAGGGAGGGAAGGAGAGGATATGAATGGGATATCAGAGAAAAGAGTAGAAAAACAGAGCTAAAGGGAAAAGAGAAGAGAAAGAGATAAAAGAGGTACAAGACATGCATGAGAGAAAATGAAGTAGAAAAGGGTCGAGAGACACACAGGGGGCAGCAGGCATCTGTGGCTTTGGCCACCCCCATCCCTGTGGTCCCAGGCCATTCTCATGCTCTCTTCTTGCCCTCGCAGGTCACTGTCTGCCGGCGGAAGAAGGAGGGAAACTACGAGGTTCAGCAGCACAGCCTGGGCTCTTACCTGCCACACCTGGACCTGAGGAAGCTGCAGTGAGAGCTCTGCGTGAGGCTCCAACGGAGCTTGGCTGGAGCAGGAATAAACCACATTGGTCGGACACAGTCTCTGGGCCCTTCTTGACTTGGCCCCTGACTAGTTCACAAGGGACCGAGATGAAAGGTTTTCCCTTCCACTGAGTCCTGAAGGGCAACTGCAAGTCTGTGTTTTGGTTTCATGCCATTTCGTCCCTCAGAGGCACCAGAACTGGCAAGAGACCCAGACATTGTCAATCATGTAAAATCAACATCCCACCTCAGTGCGAGGTTTCTCTTCCTAGAAACCTTGGAGCATGCCTCCCCTTGGCTCTGTGCCAGCCACCACACCCATCTCCGTTCCTCCATATTTCCCCACCCACAAAGTTCCCCTAACACTGTCTCATTCTCTGAAGCTCAGGTTCACCAGGACTTCCAGACCAGTCTGCCTCAGTGGCTCCTCTCCCCTCATGGGTCCTCCAAGATGGGAAATAATCCAAGAAGAAATGAGTGAGTCAGGAATGACTCGGCAATCAACGTTGGGACTTGGAGCTGAAATCACTAGGTATCCAGGAAGCCTCAGTCCCAGAGAAATCCCAAGGCTTGAGAGACTTAGTGTCTGCTTTTGATATAAAGATAAATAACACTCAGTGGGAAAGAAAAAATCTGAGGAAAAAGCTAGATAGTCTTTCTTCATCTTTCTCTGCACTGACTCCAGCTAGACAGAGCAGGGTCTCCCCAGCAAGCAGCCCCAGATGAGCCAGGCACGAGGCAAGCTGTGCTGTCCTGCTTTGGGTTTGCAGGAATAGTTGGCATGACCTCTACACATTTTGCAGACGACCACAGCTGAAGACACCCAAGGGCAGAGAATTCACAGCAGTGCCACCCATTCAGGCTTACTTGGTGTGAGCGTCACATCCTCAGTCTTAAGCAGTCATTCTCTGAGAATGCCTTCTCTGGAAATTATAATAATGATAACAAGAGCTATCATTATTGATGCCTTAATATCTACTAAGCAACATGAGTGGGCAAACTTTCCCAGCCGTGCTCTCAATCTCTAGCCTCTGTGTGCATTGTCCTCAGTTACACTCACTATCCTTGAGAGCTGCATTCCCATTTTATAGCTAATGGTATGGGGGCTCAGAAATACTAAATAACCAGGAAGGAAAAAAATTACTAAGAACCTAAATTAAACACCTCACCACACTATCTGTCAAAGAAAAAGATAAAAACACTTTCTGAAATATGGACAGACTCAACATTGACCTGCCAAAGGCCTTCAGTCAAAGAACCAGTTAAGGATGTACATCAGGAAGCATAAATGTGACCACAGAAAAGTGTAACAGGAGTCATGAGGAAAAGAAAAAATTCAGTGTATCTAAATCAGAATTAGTTTTAAAACGAGATGTTAAAACACATTCTAAAATTCCAGATGAGTACTTCCTGGAAGAATAGAGGAGAGAAGATTCAATTTTAAAATAACCCATTTTTAGGAAAGATAGAAATACTATAAATATTATTATTTTTTAATAACTCATTCTCAGAAACTGATGAATCCATGAGACAGAAGTTAAGTAATGATGAAAAGGATTTGAATATTACCACAGGTTGCTCAAGCAAATTGACAATTAAATCCCAATGAGCAGTAGCTCAGTGATAGATTAATGATGCTGAAAAGAGTCTCTCTTGACATCATGATCCCCAAAATGGCACATCAGTTTTCATGAATCAAATTTCCAACATATAGAGATATTTTAAAAAGTGAGAAGTCTGCTCCCTGTTCAGCAGGGAGTCTGCTTCTCCCTCTGACCCTCCCCCCTCTCATGCTCTCTCTATCTCATTCTCTCTCTCAAATAAATAAATAAAATCTTTAAAAAAAAAAGTGAGAAGTCTGGTATTTCCTTGTACTGAACTCTGAATTAACATGTAACAAAGAACAGAAAAATAGAGACCTACAAACAGGTATCTTCTTTGAGAACATTAAAAAAAATATGTTGGATTCTGTTGGAATATTAACACTAAAACAACAGTCCATTTCGACCAGGCATGTTTTACCCTGACTGTGAGGGCAGAACACTAAATAATCGCATGACTTTGATCACTCTCTGTTGACTTTAAAATACAAATAACATACAAAGTTAGGGAAGATAACAGTACCTCATGGAGAGGAAAGATCTCTTTTCTCTTCTCGCCTGAAACCCAATCTTGCAGTTGAAAAAGATCACTGTCTCTATTGTCTATGTCACACAAAATAATTTAATACAAGAAAAGTACTGGTACATATTAAAGTTTTGAGGGCTCGCAGCACGAAGACACCATGGACACTGCAGAGAGACATTAATAAAGTGCCCTGCGCCATTTCATCTGCCCTAGCTTCTCTTTTTTTCATGGTGTTTTTCAGGCTGTCCTTCTTGGCCCCTCATTATCTCTGCCTCTCTAGCAAGTGTGTCTACAGCCAGTGCTGTGGCCAACCTTTCTCTTGCTGTCTTCACTTTCCTTTCCTGTTTCCTGATATCTTCCTCAGTCACCAGAAATTGTTTGCACAGGAGCTGTGGGATACCCAGATCAACTCCTGAAGACCCAGCAGGGATGGGCATGGGGCTGGAGTTCAGACTACCTGCAAGAACACCTGGCAGATATTCACCTGTGCACCTAGGTTCAAGTTTTTGCAAGGCTTTGGCAAGATCCAAAGTGCTTAATGGCTCCCCTGTGCTGCTACAGGCCTGGAGACCTTGTAGCCTCTTCTGCCAGCACACCTGTTGGGGCTTGTCCAGGGTTTCCTCCCAGTGATGGCATCTGACCTCATTACCAGGATGGGATGTAATTCTAGTAACTGGCCTCTTGAATATGTAACTGGACATCCTCAAAGGGATCGAGACACTTAAGCAAGACTTTGGTTTGGATTGGTTTCCACAATCATGTTGCTTCCTCTGTGGAGTCTTGACCATCATACTTCTTTTGCTTTTACCCTATAAAAATAAATCATGAGATTGGTTTAAAATTGGTTTAAAATGGTTTAAAAGGTTGCCTTCTTAGGAGCATGGTATCGGTTATCTTGTACTTCCACCTTCCTTCTCTACCTCTGGGGATAGATCTGACCTGTGTCCTGGGATATCATCAAATAGACTTGGATCAAAATCAGAAAGTTCAAGGTCAAAATTCAGGACCTACTCCAGATCATTTCTCCTTCACCATCTTGTAAGATCCTCTCTTTTATGATTTATTCTCACTTGTCCTTGTCACTCTCAACCATACAATTCCCGGTCTTCCCCCCTACCCCTGGACACACAGTGCCCAGTCTTTTTCTAAATCTCCAGCCCCACCATCCTTCTGTGTTAGGTGACTATTCATTTGGTCGACCTGTTGACCATTGGCTTTCAGAACTTAAACCAATAGTGAAATTATCATCTGCCCTGTTCTTAGCAACTCACTCCCATATCCCAGACATTTACATCAACCAACAATGTCATGGTAAAAAATAATTCAGAAAACATATTCACCCACCACAAATTCCTGATTTTCAGTTTTCACTCAAACACTTATACAACAGTTACCTGTCCCTCAAGATTGGAAGTGATGCCAGATCACCATATCCTCACCTTACTTTCTCTCCTATTCCTACCAATCCTGGATTCCATGGTCTATGATCTCAATAATTCCCTTGGAATAATTCAGAATTCCTTAACACTTATCATATCTGCCTTGTAAAATTTCAAATCTGGAAGACCCTCATTATCCATCATGCCATAGCTACTGCTAGTCTTTGGTACCACTATAAATCCAAAATCATCTGCATCCACTGCAAAACATCCATAATGCCTGGAAATTTTACTTGATTTTTTATGTGTTGGCATATTTATTCCTTGGCTTTTCACAAAGCTTCCCTACTTTTTACTGCATACATATCCAAGATCCCTTAACTTGCCTGATATTTCACAGAGAAATGGTTCTTTCCACTCCTTCCCTTTCGTTGTGGATCACTGAGAAAAAGTCATCTACATCCTGTGCCTCTGGGGCCTCATCTTCAAGCACCTCCTCAGACCACCCCACTCTTCCATCTGCCCTCACCATTCTGTGGGTGCTTCCTTGATAAGGTCACAATGACTCCTTTGTTACTAGACCCAGTAGGAACTTTTCAGTATTCATATGACAAGATCTTTAAGTGGAAAACTTACAGATATGTTTGCAACAACTTAGATATGTGAACCCTATTTTACATCTGTGAATAGTGTACAATCTAAATACAAAGCAGATACATCCGACAAAATTCAACTTACAAAATGAGACTGTGTTGTAAGTGGAAAGTGCTGGATTTCTGATATGCAGCACACAAAAAAAATGTAAACTGTCTCTATTAATTTTTACATTGATTGCATGCACAGGTAAAAATATCTTGGTTATAATGTTTTAAAATATATTACTAAAATTCATTTCATATGTTTGTTTTTATCTTTTTAAAGGCGGCTACTAAATTTTAAAAATTCCATATTATAGAGTGCTTAGTGGTCCTATTGACAGCACTGATCAAGCCGTGTGTAAAAATAAAGCCCAGAGCAAAATGTCTGGGAAAAATTTTCCCAAGGAGAGGAGTCTACCTCCACCCCATAGCAAGATGCAGCATGTACACACACACACACACACACACACACACACTCACACACACACTCACACACACGGTAGATGTCCCAGAGTACCACCATTACTTCTCAAACGCCATGAGGTTGCACTCCCACAGAGTCCAAACTGGACTTGATCTCAAGAGAGAAGTCAGAAGTCCATATAATTTACCATTTAGGGAGAGCCAAACCAGAGACTATGCATAAAAATATTTTGTGGGTTGCCCATCATCGGCTTCTATTATAAATTCAATTTGTTTGGGAAACTCTTCCAGGGAGGGTCATTTTAAAAATACACAGTAAATGTAAATAACAATCACTCTAGCCAATAAATGAAATTGAGAGGATAGAACACAAATATTATCATTATCAAATCACTACTGGATTTGTGAGTCAGTCAGGGAACAGATGAGATTGGATTAATTAGGTGACTCTAATTGCACGGCCATAATATTGATCATATTACACTAGGACTTCTGAAACATGGCAGCCCTCCCAACTACTTAACCACCAAGGCCCACCAACCAGACAGGTTGTTGCTGGCAGATCCCCTCTGACAACACCTGGAGGATTTTCCCCAACATCCCACTCTGCCACTGCATTCTTCTACCTGCTACAGGCCAAGGAAATATTTTCTCCAAGGTTCATGCTCTGTGTGTGTGTGTGCCAAGCTCTGGGGGTGACCTTTCTCTCCCAGGTGAAGAGAAGGATTGAGGTGTAAGCCCTGGGATTGGACAAGAACTAAGATTTGCTGACACAGAAAAGAGAATCTATAGTGTGCAGGGTCAGCAGAGTCCAAGAAGCCCCAGTGATTCCTGGATAGAATCAGAGAAGAGGATGTCAGATGGAGCAGGTATGTTTGGGTGTGAGTTTGCTTGGGAATATCAGGAGGATGTGCGTAACATAGGTAATGCATTCATAAATGTTTTTCGTTCATATATCCATCCTTTGTTATGGAGTACTTTCTACATACATTAAGGCACTAGTTCTTGCCCTCTGGAGTTTACAAAGTCAGTGCCAGACGAATTTATAAATTTTATTTATAATGTACAGATACAGCACTTCAGGAATGTTAGGTGTTCCAAGCATTTTTCAAACATTAACTCCTTTAATAACTCTCCATGACCTTACAAAGTAGGTATTCTTGTTATTATGCCAATGACAGATGGAGAAACTGAGGCACAGACAAGGTAAGTAACTTGCCCAAGGTCAAATATCTAGTAAATGATAGAGCTGGAACCCAGGCCTATTTTGAGTGGTATTCTGTGCTATGTCCCCTTCCTGTAATTCTCATTTCTGAGTTTATTCATCATATACCTGTGTCACCAACCCACAGGTGTTACAGATATAATCTCATGTACACCTGGTGATGTCAAAAGGAAGTAGTTACTAGCATGAACCCCAATGTGCAGGTTGGGAGAGTGGAGAGGCTCCCAGTGGCGCAAAGGCTTTTCCAGGACGGGGAACTGACAGAGAAAAAAAGAGGACTGAACTCAGCTCTGTCCCCTCCAAGCTGGGACCCTGGTTACATTCCCAGCGTGTGGTGTGGCGAGCTGTGGTGGATATTTGTGTACAGTTATGGAGATAACACAGCCAAGTAGGATAAGCAGTCAATGGTCTAGTGGAGGCTTTGGGTAGGTTTCAGTGAAGGAAGGGGCCCAGGAAATGGAATCTTGAAGAAGCAACCTCATTTCCTTGGTGACAGAACCCAACAGAATTCTGGTCACCAGGCACCCACATTCTAGAGACAGCCCCTCATCCAGTTCACTTGACCAGAGATGCTCAACAGAGTAACATGTATGTGGTCCCGTCATTTCCCACTTTCCAAGGCTCTGGCCTCAGGAGAGCCAAGAGTGAGAACTTTATCAGTCGCTGTAGACACTGGCTCAGCCCTTATTTCTAACACCTCTGGCCATTCGGCACAGGGTACCCTAAGGTAACACAAGGCAGCCCAGGACAGGTCAGTCCAGGCCAGGCCACAACTGTGATCCCACCAGGGCAGCCCCACACCCTTTACCCCTTCCTGTGTGTGGTGGGGGGATAAGGCAGGAAATGAGGAGGGGTGTCTTCCTGGGCAGGAGCAAGTTGTTAGGTGTGGGAAACCTGGCAATCTGTCATGTCCATAGCGCAGCTCATGGCTAGCAGGATGGAAATGTAAGTTCTGGTACCAAGGACCTCTACCCACATCCCAAACCTCAAGGTGTCATCTTGTTCCCTCTCTGGCTGGAGATCTATGCAGATGCTCCTCTGTGCTGGATCTTGGGAGCAGAACTGGGGGTCCACATTTCCTCCTGTGGTGTTGTCTAAGCAGACCCCTGAAGCCTCCTCCCCAGTTACTCTTTAAGAGTTTTTCGGATTTAAATGTGTCCCAGGGGAAATAGGCATTCAGGTTTTATCTCTTAAGTCTCATCACGTGTTTAGGCTTTGGAACAATAAACCACTCAGATACATAAAATTATACGTTTATTCATTCAGATATTAGAAAACAATCAAAATTGTTTTACCTCTGTTTATCAAGGGATTACCCCCTCTCTTTTTAAGAGTCCCTGTCTACACCTACCCTCAGCGATCAAGACTCACCGTTGGGGTTCCATCTCAGATTAATGCTATCCTTGAGGATTTGCTACTCTATCTAGCCACGTCTTCCACCACTGAATACACAGTAAGTATGTCCTCTATTGCTTCAACCACTCCTCTATCCCAGAAAACTCATTCCCTAACTAAGAACTTTTCAGACCACTCTTTTGTACCTTCTGTGTTTTGTTTCATCAACTGACAGTACAAAGATTCATATTTGGGTAAAATTTCTAAGTTATACATGCTTTTTCCATGTTGTATTTGAACTATTTTAGAAAAGTTTTTAAATTTAAATTTTAGCTTTAAAACTTTCTCTGAATGCAGACATTAGCCAAATTTTAAAAGATGTGATAGATTCTCCTCAATTTTAAATAATCATTTTCCAACTTACTTGAAATGTTAAATTTATCAAATACTAAACTTCCATATATACAAGGGGCTGTTTCTGGAACCTCCATATCCCTCTTCAATTTGTTGGGGGTTTTCCTCCCATAACAAACTTTAGAGAATGTTGTGGTATATTACTTTTTCCATATCCTCCCTTGTTGTTCATTCCCCCCCGCCGGCAAAAAAGTTATTATTTTTCTTTGAAAATTTTCACTTCCAGGGTGCCTGGGTGGCTCAGTCAGTTAAGCATCCAACTCTTGATTTTGGCTCAGGTCATGATCTCGGGGTCCTGGGATAGAGCCCCACCTCAAGCCCCGTGTGGGGCTCTGAGCTCAGCAGAGAGTCTTCTTAAAGTTTCTCTCCCTCGG